AAGATCCTGTGTATCGAATTTACTCAGTTTCTATGATCGAGCCACAGAGATATTACAGGAAAGAGATGGTTGGGTTGACTGCATCTATCTGGACCTAAAAAAGGCTTTCGACAGAGTTCCACATAAGAGGTTGTTCTGGAAACTGGAAAATATTGGAGGGGTGACAGGTAAGCTTCTATCATGGATGAAAAATTTTCTGACTGATAGAAAAATGAGGGCAGTAATCAGAGGCAATGTATCGGAATGGAGAAATGTCACAAGTGGAGTACCACAGGGTTCAGTTCTTGCACCAGTGATGTTTATTGTGTACATAAATGATCTACCAGTTGGTATACAGAATTATATGAACATGTTTGCTGATGATGCTAAGATAATAGGAAGGATAAGAAATTTAGATGATTGTCATGCCCTTCAAGAAGACCTGGACAAAATAAGTATATGGAGCACCACTTGGCAAATGGAATTTAATGTTAATAAATGTCATGTTATGGAATGTGGAATTGGAGAACATAGACCCCACACAACCTATATATTATGTGAGAAATCTTTAAAGAATTCTGATAAGGAAAGAGATCTAGGAGTGGTTCTAGATAGAAAACTATCACCTGAGGACCACATAAAGAATATTGTGCAAGGAGCCTATGCAATGCTTTCTAACTTCAGAATTGCATTTAAATACATGGATGGCGATATACTAAAGAAATTGTTCATGACTTTTGTTAGGCCAAAGCTAGAATATGCAGCTGTTGTGTGGTGCCCATATCTTAAGAAGCACATCAACAAACTGGAAAAGGTGCAAAGACATGCTACTAAGTGGCTCCCAGAACTGAAGGGCAAGAGCTACGAGGAGAGGTTAGAAGCATTAAATATGCCAAAACTAGAAGACAGAAGAAAGAGGTGATATGATCACTACGTACAAAATAGTAACAGGAATTGATAAAATCGACAGGGAAGACTTCCTGAGACCTGGAACTTCAAGAACAAGAGGTCATAGATTTAAACTAGCTAAACACAGATGCCGAAGAAATATAAGAAAATTCACCTTCGCAAATAGAGTGGTAGACGGTTGGAACAAGTTAAGTGAGAAGGTGGTGGAGGCCAAGACCGTCAGTAGTTTCAAAGCGTTATATGACAAAGAGTGCTGGGAAGACGGGACACCACGAGCGTAGCTCTCATCCTGTAACTACACTTAGGTAATTACACAAGCTATATATTATGTGAGAAATCTTTAAAGAATTCTGATAAAGAAAGAGATCTAGGGGTGGTTCTAGATAGAAAACTATCACCTGAGGACCACATAAAGAATATTGTGCGAGGAGCCTATGCCACACTTTCTAACTTCAGAATTGCTTTTAAATACATGGATGGAGATATACTGAAGAAATTGTTCACGACTTTTGTTAGGCCAAAGCTAGAATATGCAGCGGTTGTGTGGTGCCCATATCTTAATTAAGAAGCACATCAACAAACTGGAAAAGGTGCAAAGACACGCTACTAAGTGGCTCCCAGAACTGAAAGGCAAGAGCTACGAAGAGAGGTTAGAGGCATTAAATATGCCAAAACTGGAAGACAGAAGAAAAAGAGGTGATATGATCACTACATATAAAATAGTAACAGGAATTGATAAAATCGATAGGGAAGATTTCCTGAGACCTGGAACTTTAAGAACAAGAGGTCATAGATATAAACTAGCTAAACACAGATGCCGAAGAAATATAAGAAAATTCACTTTCGCAAACAGAGTGGTAGACGGTTGGAACAAGTTAGGTGAGAAGGTGGTGGAGGCCAAGACCGTCAATAGTTTCAAAGCGTTATATGACAAAGTTTTGGGAAGACAGGACACCACGAGCGTAGCTCTCATCCTGTAACTACACTTAGGTAATCACACTTAGATAATCACACACACACTTCATGTTTATATAAATATATAAACATGATTAAACATGACAAGTAAGATTTTTTGTGGTTTAGACACAAGTGGTGTTAGAAGAATAGATAAGAGTAAGACATGAAATAGAATGGAAAGATGTGAAGCTAAAGTGTGTAAATTGTACGACTGAGGAGTTTAAGGATCATTTTGAAGGGTTGGATGGATAAGACTGCCGAAGAGTCTGTATTTAAGAGAATGAGATCAGGAGGATGAGTAGAAGGTCCTAGAACACAGGCCCAATATGCCACTGGACATGTCTGTATAAGTGGCCAACTTCCCTATGCTCTTTATTTAGTTACCGTGCTGTGAACTTGTGCTGTGAATTTAGGACTGCATACCGAACACAAGGCAACAACATAGTATTTCAAATTAATAAATTATTGTAAAACTGTTGTGTATGAATATCCAAAATATTTTTTACCCTATCCTAAATTGACTACCAGGAGGTTACTTCACTAGCCACAAACCTGGCATTGAATATAATAAAATGCCTCTTTCTGGTAGAACCCTAATGGCTTTCCTGTAGCTATCATGCTGGGGTTGCTCTAATCTACCAGTCACGTCAGTTGCATGAAACTGAGCCTAGTCCGAACCTGGGAGGAAACCAACTGGGACTTCTGCCAGTTCATCATGAACCCAAACCTGGTGAGATGGGAAAGTAGCTAACGTGCAGTCTGGCTGGAAGCCCAAGCCAGCCAGTCGTCGAAATAGGCCAAAACTCAAACCCCCTAAGAGATTTAGCCGAGCCACAGCAATTTGTGCTAACCTGGTGAAAATACAGGGAGTTCAAGCTGAAGCGCAGAGCCTGAAAGCTATAAACATGATGCCCCACCACAAAACCTAATCAGTCTCTGAACCCTCGATGGATAAGAACATGTTGGTATGCATCCTGGAGATCCAGGGACATCATCTATGTCTCTGGTTGAAGAACCAGGTGAACTTGGGCAAAAGTGGTCATGCGGAAGGTTGGACAGGGAAAGAATCAGTTCAGATTCAAAAGATCTTTGAATGAACCGCAGGTCTGAAGTCCCTCTTGGGAATTGGGAACAAATGAAGGGGGACAAGGTTGGCTTGACCATGTCCAAGCACGCTGCAATGACTTGATGCAGCAGTGGGCAAGAAAGCTGACCTGCCAGTCCTGACCCCAAAATATGGGGGCAGAAAGATAAACTCCACTGCAGGTTGAGGGAAGCAATCTGAAACGCTCATGAATCATGGGACCAGGAGCTGCAAAGTAAGCAAGATGAGCCCCCTTCCCAACAACGTCATCAATGGGATGAACTGTGAAAGGGCCAATGTAAACCATGAGAAGCACTATCCTTCCGCTAAGCAAAAGAGCAGTGCCTATGAGCAGAAATAGCATGTGCCGCAGGAAGTAAAATACCCCAACAATTTGGCACCCCTGAGGGCCAACCTCAACCAACAGCAGGCATGGCCCCAGCTATACCAGACTGCCCCCAAACATGAACTGAACTGAACTCTGAGTAGTCAAAAGTAGGAAATTGGATGGCAGAAAGTAGCTGTCATTGAAAGGAACTATACAACAATAACCTGAGGAAAGAGGAGAGGCAACCAAAAGGACTAAGGACCAAGCTAAAGCTAAATAGAGGGCAAGGAAGGTCTGCCAACATGTGAGGCGAGCTGCATAAAACCCCACCACTGCCTCCCGAAGGATGGGTGCAAGCATCTTATGCATAACTGACCTCGCCAGAGACCCGCTGGAGAATACTAAGGCCTGCTTAGACAGTGCTAAGACAAGTGCTCCCAGGCACTGTGGGCATTTACCAAAGAATATGGGAACCACAAGTAGCCCAACCCCGTGTGTGGCAAAATGGAGCAGGCAGTGTGCCGTATAAACAAACATGCAACCTCTGAGTGCAAGCCACACAAGATAATGAACACCCCAACCAAGGAGTTAAATACAGGTCAGAAGACATTGAAATACCCAACGTAAGGCACTCCATCCTGGTGGCATAGCCTCAAAAGGAGGCAAAACTCTGAACACACCAAAAATATGCTCTGTCAGTGCTCATGAACACCATGGGAAGTAACTGTTGGGTACATGCAGTTTGGATCACAAAAAGTAAAGGCCACACAACAAAACTGAGTAAAAACTTACACGTGAAGTAAATACTGCATTGGAATGATACACTTGCAAAAGAGGCCCCCGTGGGGCAAGTCCTAACATGGCTGGTACTGTACTAAGCTTTAAAGCTCTGGGACTTGCTGTAAGATGATGCGACAAAGGAGCACTACTACATTGCTCTGGGCTATGTATCAGCAGATGAATTGATCTGATAGCTGATGCTGGACCAAGCACCAGGCTGCCTGGTGGTGGCATTCAGTACTATTGGGTTCTAGCTAATTTTGCACATTTTTGTTTATTTTGTATTATTTGGAGTTATTTGGTATTTCAGTTATTTATGAGTCATGTGAACTTAGCAGTTGTCTGCAAAATGTCATTTGCTCCCCGGACCTCATGTGAAAGGGCCAGGTTTGTTTTGGCTGTGGTCCCTGGTAGGCCAAATGAATTCATGCAACTGATGTGACTTGTAGATTGGAGCAGTCTCAGCGAGATACCTACAGGGAGCCACCAAGGGGCTTCCCCAGAAAATAGGGGTTGCCTCCTAGTCAAGAGAAGGCTGGAAAGATAACATTCAGGAAATGACAGGAACTAAACTGAGTACAGAATGTGTGTGGAAATGGGAATTGTATTACTATCACATCACACAAGATGTTGTAGAAAAGAAGCCTAGGAAGCCTATGCACCTTGTCTTGTGGCTGCACACTGCTGCGATTGATTTGTTAAGTGTGATATTGGTTTTGTGATACACAGACTGCGCTCCTATTATGTTATATATTATTTACATTTTTTGATATAGGCTGATGCCTCTCCATAATATGAAAGTGAGAAAGAGTGATAAAAGAGATGAGTGTTAACATTCTTGTTAATTTTACATTATGAAATTACTGTCTCAAGCACAGTAATTACTTAACATATGAATAAACAGACCTGAATTTTAGAGGTATAAATGAACTTAAATTCTGTGTAAAGTAATGTCTATCTTACCAAAATCAGCATTTAACAACTGTCTAGCCATGTATGTTGTTTCGTGATGTATGAACAGTCCTTTTTGTACTGACGACTGTCCTGCGGTGGAAATTCCTTCCACTGTTGAAATGTCTCTCTTCAAAGGTGTTGGTAACATGCGTATTCTCCCTGACTCTGGAACTATAGGATGATAAGGGATTCGAAGGCATTCATTAATAACTGTTAAAGAAAGCTAATTAAAATGTGGGTCTTGTAAAACAGAAATAACAAACAAATTAGTAAAGAACGTGCATTTTAAGTTAGTACTGTATATGAAAGTGTGAGAAAAATAATAATACTTCCATATATTAAAAATAATGTATACGGAGGTCATTTATTTGGTTATCAGACACTATTGCAGTCTATGAAATGTACTAGTACAGTATATTAAAGATTAGATCACTTTATCACAGATACTACAGTTTGCATATCTTTCATTTGCTGTCCATTGTACATTTCCAAAATGAATATTAATCCATAATTAAAACTACTCTTCTTCAAATCTTGGGCTAAATTAAAAATAACCAATTTTCAGTAAAACCTTAGCAAAAAAAAAAAACCAGCGTTGAATGTAATGAAACGCCATTTTCTGGGTGAGTCCCGGAGGCTCCCCAGGAGCTATCCAGGCTGACTAGATACGTATAACTTTCTGGAATCAATGTGCATGGAGTTCTTTCCTACTGGGGACCACGAACCAGAACCTGGCCCCCCTCAGAGGCATGAGAAGCAATGGCCTATAGAAACCCCCATGTGGTTGGGAGCATTCTATGTCTGCCATTGACTGGGTCTGACATCAAGAAAGGTAGGCGCCAAAAACAAACCCCTATTCTGGTGAAACTATTGCTACCGAAAGCCGAATGAGTGGACAGAACTCCCCAAACAAAAATTAGCAAACTAGTATGACGTCATCACGTTGCTGAGCCGCTGTCTGTGCAACTCATCCCCCCCCCTCCCTGGGAGAGGGAAGGGAGAGCTCCAGACCCCCATGCCAGTGATTCAACTACCAGTTCTTAGGCTGGATATCAAAATACGTGAAAAATACCGCTGACCGGAGGGAGGGATGCCAGTGAGCCTCCAGGACTTATCCAGTAAATGGCATTTCATTACATTCAATGCTGGTTTTCTGGGGGGAGCCCCGTCGGCTCCCCAGAGCTAACTACCCAAAGACAAGGAAAAACGGGGACTTACCCAGATGGCAGTTAGTCCTTACTACTCAACACGAAGCTGAGACAACTCGCTGCAACCGCCGACCCAAAGCAATACAGGCCTGACTAGGCCCATGAACATTCATGAAGTAGCGTGCAGCCAGGACCCTGATCAACCGCCAAAAACCCCGTGCCCGAATGTCAACCCAAGACATGTTGCCTAAGACGGCAGCCAAGGCAGCAAACTTACAAACATCGTGGGCACGGGGATAGACCACAGGCTGGCTAGACTTAATAACCCTGGGGATGAACTGAGAGATCCGAGCCCGGGAACAGGGAAGGAGAGAAACCAGGTCAACCCAAAGCGCATCCCCGGCCATGGCGCACAAATAACGGTAGAGAGCCGCAACTGGACACAACACATTATGAATAAACCCTGCCTGACCAACCAAGCATCAACAACCCAAGGACCCCTCCGGAAAGCAGTCGTCACATTCTTCGCCAGAAAAAAGGAGACGGCTGCAACCGAACAAACCTACCACCAGGACTGTAGGAGCAGAAACCTCTGCGCCAGAGGAGAGCATGAAGCTCCCCAACCCGCCCCACAGAAACCAATGCCAACAGGAAAAGAAGTCTTAGAAAAACAATCCTCTTACGAAGAGGCCACCAAAAACCGAGGAGGAGAGAGAAAAGAGAGCACCCGGTCCAAATACCAGGATGGCTCAGTAAGCGCATGAGCAGGCTGGAGGTAAACACCGAACGGAAGTTGGAGCGGCTCCGCCAGTGCCGCACGATATGAAGCAACAGTATTCGGCATCAGATGACATTCCTGGAACAACCACGAAAGGAAGGACAAACAATCCTATCAGAGATCGAAGATTATCTACACAGTGATAGAAAAATTCAGAAGGACTGCCAGGAAACTTCATACTGCCGCTGAGACGAAGCACACAAGTGAGAGACCAACAAAGAAGCCACATGATCATCATAGAAATGGTGATACACCAGCGTCAGAAAGACCAGATGCGAAGTGTGAAATAGTAAAGCAAACCAGCAAGGAACCTCACTGGTCTGATCTGCTGGTAAAGGTAGAGCCAAGGAAAGATGCCTGGGTTCGGTCACCGAGCAAGTAGCACCTGAAACCAAGGCTGGGCCTGCCACCAAGGGGCCACGAGAACTACTCTTCCGTGGTAGGACTCCAACTGAGCCAGAACCCATAGCAACAGCTGTACCGGGGGGGGAAAAAAAAGTACAGTTAACCCCACCTCGACCAGTCCTGCTGAAAGACGTCGACTGCAACAGAATCGCAGTCGGAGGAAGGGCGCTACATAGATCGGGAGACGCCGAGACCATGCCGACGCGAAGAGGTCCTCTTCTGGGAGTCCGTACGTCTGGCAGAGCCAACGGAAAGAGTTGGCGTCGACCATCCATTCCGTGGACAGGGGAAAGAACTGAAACAAGCGGTCCGCCAGGATGTTGGACACTCCCCGATATGAACCACATACAGAGTCAAACCCAGAGAAGCCAGCAGATGAGCCACTCAAAGCAACCAGCACCAAAGAGGTAAGGAGTGAATAGAAACCCCATGGTTCAGACAATGAACCACCGGAGAACAGTCAAATGGAGCCGGATGGTTGAACCCCAAGTGACCTGAACCCACAGAAGCGACTGCCAAACCAGCACGAACACTAGCACCATGCTGTGAGGCCGACGGAAGGAAGAACCCCATCGCCCCTGGCCGCCCTGTTGAGCACTGGTCACAAAGCCCCAGCCAAGAAATGACACGTCCATGAACACGAGCGAGGGCTTGGGTAGGCACCAAAGCAGTGAACCCTGAAGAAGAAGCCGACGACGAAGCAACCGAAGCAAGGCCCATGAAGTACGAACCCAGTGATAGTGAAAGAAGTGGAAGGGGTGTTCCCAAAGGAACCAGAACAGTCGCCGAAGCCAAACCCAACCAAGCTGGTAGACCAGCATGGAGAAGTTCAAACTCCCACACAGCTGCTTGAGCAACCGCCGAGTGATCCGAGACCCCACCAGAAACAGCCGAAGGTGGGACCGCAGCCTCAGCAACGCCTCCAGAGGGAGAGACATGGAAGCAGTCCGAGAGTCCCAAACAAGACCCAACCATGTTCGAACCTGGAATGGAACCAGATGGGACATCTTCCAGTTCACCAGGAACCTGAACCCAGCGAGTTGGGAAAGAACCACACCCCTGGAGAGCAGATAAGCAGACCGACTGGGAGCCCACACCAGCCAGTCGTCAAGGTAGGCCAGGACTCGAACCCCTAGCAGACGTAGATGGGTCACCACGACCCAGGAAAGACGCGTGAATATATGAAGTGCCAGATTCAAGCCAAAAGGAAGGCAACAAAAGTAGTAAGCCTGATGCCCCACCATAAAACCTAGCCAGTCCCTGAACCCCAGATGCATAGGGATATGCCAATATGTGTCCATGAGGTCCAGGGACACCATCCAGGCACCAGGCTCCAAAAGAAGCTGAACCTGAGACAGAGTGGTCATCCGAAAGGAGGGGAAAGGAATTCAGGGGTTCAGATGGGACAAGTCCAAAAGGATCCACAGATCCGCACAGTCCCGTTTTGGTACTGGGAACAGGTGGAACCCCTGTCCTACCTGAGGGATGGGGTCGTGTCGATCACGCCCAAGCGCACCCATTCCAAGATGACCTGACGAAGCACTGAGGAAAAAGCCTGTCCAATCGGTGCCAAACTTCCCGAAGGAGGAGCCACCTCCCAACGCCACCACAGGCCATATAACATGATACAAAATGCCCACAAATCGTGCGAGCAAACAGAGCAAGCCTCACCCCGGGAGCCGGTCGGCCAAGCGGACAGCACACTCGACTTGTGATCCTGTGGTCCCAGGTTCGATCCCAGGTGCCGGCGAGAAACAATGGGCAGAGTTTCTTTCACCCTATGCCCCTGTTACCTAGCAGTAAAATAGGTACCTGGGTGTTAGTCAGCTGTCACGGGCTGCTTCCTAGGGATGGAGGCCTGGTCGAGGACCGGGCTGTGGGGACACTAAAGCCCTGAAATCATCTCAAGATAACCCCCCCAATCTGAATGGGGGGGTTATCCGTGCCAGAGCTCGGGGCTCCAGCGGAGCCCCGAGCCCTGGCACAACCCCTCCTAGAAGACCAAAAACCGCCGCCCCGGAAAACTAACAAGTCCGACATAGGATGACAACAAGACGAAGCCGCCTGCAGAAACTGCGTGACAGCAGACTCCGCAAACAGTAACGGACAAAACAGCGACAAAAACCTAAGAGCCAGGGCCCAAGGGGATTCCAAAGAGAGAGAGCGAGCACAGCCTGATTGCTTGCGTGATGAAAAGCAAAGGGCAGGGGACACTGCTTCCTTCAGGATAGGCGCAAACAGTACAGCTGATGCCCAAACCGCCAAGGACAGCACACCAGACAAAGGCATGGCACTTAAAGCCTTCACATCCTCAAGCCAGGCTGAAGACAGCTTGGCAAGGGAAAAAAAGCACAAGACTGTAGCCAAATGCCCATGGGCACACAAATCCTCAGCAACCAAGGACACTGAAAGGGTAGGAACCTGCACGTACAGCTGCACAAGGCAAACATCCCGAGAAAGCACAGGGGCAAGCAAGCATGAAGGTGCTCAAACTCGCCCTCCAGGTAAACCTGCAGAATGGTTGAAGTTTCTCTCCACCCAAGTGTGCGGGTCCAATATAACCCATGCCATGCCCCCAATGAAAAGAATGGGCAGTCTGCCAGCCAGGAAGACTATGGAACCTCTAAACACACCCAATACGAGGAAGAAGAACCAAACTCAAATAAGGATGGATCCATCACGGAGGCAAAATCTGGGTCTCACAGGAGGTATGCACCAAGAACCTCCCGAACCTCCCTAGAGTAGACACGAGAGGCAGAAAACCTCCGGAAGGACCGGAAGGACGGGGCCAGGAATCTAAGAGAGTACAGAACCGAACCAGGAGAGGTGTCAACTCCAAATCATACTCGTATAGGGAAGGGGGTAACAACACCCCTCCCTCTGCAACAACAAGCCCCACAAAGAGGGCACAAACACCCAAGTGGGGTCAAAGAGGGCCCAAGGACCCCAGGTCGACTCCTCCCCAGCCCTGGGATCCCCCAAGTCGGGACCCAGGGCAGAGCAATTCTCCATACCTTTCACCCCTGAAGAATAGGCAGAGTCCAGGGGAAAAGCTGAAAAGAAGGGGAGGCCCTGCTGGTAGGACCTAGAAACCTTGTTAGGAGGAACTGCCTCCGTCCCCAACCCGATTGGGACAGTCCCTGAAGCTGCCCGAGTCATCACCAACTAAACCCCTGCCCTAACTCCGAAACCCTCAGACATTTGGGAGCCAGAAGCAGGGAAAGGGGAAGGGGAAGGAGAGGGGAGGAGTAGGGTGAACAACAAGGGAAGGACCAGGGAGCACGGATTGAACTGAAGTCGAAGCGACTAACATCCCCAGGTCTAGGTCCCTATAACCAAAGCGGGACAGCCGTGGGGCACCCAGGTGGGAAACCAACCTAGTGTGTTGCAGCATCCTGAATCTAGCATGCAATGTGGATGCTGCCAGTACCCTAACAGTAATGTCATCAGAATAGTACTGGTGAACAAGCAGAGAACACGACTCTCAAGACTCCGGGTCAAAGGTGTCGTTGACCCAACAGGCACATCATGATGGAGGCAAAAGAGTAGACTGTCAGCTTGAGACAAGGGCACACAGCAACCTTTGAACCCGCACGAGGTGGGATAGAACTCAGAAGACACATATATAGGTGCACCGAGGCCCGACAGGGTTTTCCAAGGCACGTACAGTATACTGACTGCGACGGGAAGCCCGGGCAAGGGGCCTGATAACTGAGTAGACAGCGCTTCAGATTCATAGTCCTGAGGTTTCGGGTTCGATCCCCAGTGGAGGTGGAAACAAAATGGGCAGAGTTTCTTTAACCCTGATGCCCCTGTTACCTAGCAGTAAATAAGTTCCTGGGAGTTAAGACAGCTGCTACGGGCTGCTCATGGGGAATGTGTAACAAAAAAAGGAGGCCTGGTCGAGGACCAGGCCGCGGGTGACACTAAGCCCCAAAATCATCTGAAGATAACCTCAGGAGGAAGGTGTTGCTAACCAGTTAACACCCAAAGCTAACAAGAGGGAGATCAAAAACACTGAAACCCCTGCGACATGTACAATCACGAGGGCCTAGCACAGGTCACCAAAATATCAGAAATAAAACTATAGCCACACCAGGCAGACCCCACACCAGACAAGAAAAACAAAAAACAAAAGAAAAACCCAGCAAAAGTACAATGTTCCCAGAGGAAACAGGAACTGGCCACTGCATAGGTAGGCAGGTTGCACAACACTTTGGTGCCTTAACCAGCATGATACCACTCCCTACCCAAGGCCAAAAAGGGCCATGAAACTCCAGCTGGTCCCAAGAGCGGGGTAAATGCCAAGCAGCAAAAACCCCTAGGAAAATGGCGTCCCAAACGCACCAGGAGAGGGAACCCTAACACGCAAGGGCAGTAGTCACAGGGTGCCTAGGAAAGGATGCCGCTAAGTGCATGCAGCCCTGGTACTGATGAGGAACACCACACCACTACACACAACACTGCAGAGGTCACAACAAAAGGAAAATATCCACTTTGGAAATCGAGCCCAGAGAAGACAGCTGCCCCGGATTACATTAGATAACGAACTGGAGTGATAGGTAACCGGCGCGGGGAGGTCCGAAGCTTTTTCCTCCCTGTCTTTGGGAAGGAGGGCTGCGCGGACGAACGGCACGGCGATGGAGTGTGACGTTTGCTTGTCTCTTTGGGATTGGAGGGAGTTCTGCCTCTCTTTTTGGTTTTTAGTTGTAATTTTATTATCATGTTGGGTTTGTTTTATTATGCCTACCTTTTTGGGTGTCCAACCCCGGTTGATGGCAGATAGGGAGAACCCCAACCACAGGGGGGGTTTTCCAGGGTCATTGCTCCCTGAAATCTCTCTGAGGGGGGCCAGGTTCTGGTTCGTGGTCCCCAGTAGGATGAACTCCATAGACTAATGCCCTGGTCTAATATATCACACATTAGCCCGATAGCTCCATGGAGCCATAGGGGCTCCACACAGAAAAGGATGTAAAATATAAGGTTTTACCGACACACTGTCATTTATATGGCTGGATGGCTAAACAAAACTCAAATGAAAACTGATCATATGATCTTTCTGATAATAAGCCAATACCTAAATCTTAATGGTTAAGACTTTATGCCATTTTGTGAACAATCACAGCTACTTCCTAAAGTAAGATTCTTTTGGGTCTACACACAGGACCAATTGGCAGTAAGAGCAGGTCGACATTATGCACCAGTGCCACAGATAACTTTTACAATTTTCTTGCAGTCATGATGGTGGTGTTAGAGTAGCACTAGAGATCATTTAGCTCAGTCTGGTTGACCATTAGAGGGTTCAGTCATAAATCTTTAGGCCCTTTAAAGCCCTCTGTCATCTCACTAGCTGCTAGTTACCTCATTGAACTATCATCACAACCAAAGTATATACAGGTATATACTTCCTAACTGGATCCTGTAGCAGTTGGGCAGGCAGGGACTGGCAAAATGTATGCATTTTGTTCATCTTTTGAAACGTATCTTTTGTGCAGTTGGCACATGCTGCTTTTTTCATGAAATTACCTAAGTAAAATAGTTACAGGATGAACTATGTTTGTGATGTTCCATCTTCCCACTCCAGCTGCTACATAGAAAACAGCTCTTCTGGTGGCAGCTGGGTGGTGATTGCAACTTCATGTTGGCCTGCTCTTTAGCCATTTTAGGTTTCTTCAATGGGTTATCTTGTAATATGTCTATCTCCCATGTATGCTAATTGCCTCAGACTAATTCATACATAAAGGTGGGGTTACTTTTGTGTTTGAAAATGAAGTAACCTTGCTATGTTTTTCCACTCAAAGATGCAAGGAGCATCTTTGAGTGGAACTGCCACATTTCCTAGGCAATGTGACAATGCTTTAGTATCAGAAGTCGAGTTTGACCAGTCCTTCGTGGCTTGGTATCTGAAGAAAATTTTCTGTCTAACTTGTCAGTGTGCAGTATAGAATACCTTCATCAACCACATTTTTTGATCAGAAACTTTGTGCCTGTATAGGACTATCATGAATGTTGCTCACCACTTCTTAACCTTCAGCCTTCCTCAATCACTACTCTGCAGCACAGGTGAGTTTGGCTCATGTTTACATAGTTCTACTGTTCTTGTTTTCTGCATCTTCCAATCATATTCTTACCATAGGGAGCAACAGTGAGCTTCTTTCACTGTTGCTGTTTTTTTTGGGTGGGGTTCCAATTGCTGGGTTTTAGATGTGTGTTTGATGAGTGACTTCTGTTTTATATTGATTTGGTGGTGTTTTCCCTTAGGTTTTCTTTGTTTTGTTATTACTTTATGTGTTTCTTTCTGTTAATTTGGATGTGGTTTCCAATGAATTAATTATGATTTGGGTTAGTTTTGGTTGCGTTTCTTTTTCGGGTATCCATCGATTTGGATGCGTTTTCCAATGTGGGAATTTTTTATTTTTTTTTGTTTTCATTTGTTTTTGCCCAATTTTAATTCTCTTAGTTTTAGTGTTTTTCTATTTTTTTTATGTTTTCTGTGTTCTTTCTCAGTTAGGTTTGGTTTGGTTTGATCTCAACAGTGGAAGGTTTGGATCAAACCTCATGGAATGTTCTCCAGTGCAGAAAGTTAACCTGTCCATGGTGTCACGATCCTCTGGACCCAGAAGACCCTCAAGAAGCAGCCAAATAAGACAATAACTACAACTTTCGATACACAGTACTCTCAAAGCCGTATTTCTTGTTAACATGACTAAACCAATATTTAAGGAAATATGGTTGCTAATCCAATCTAAGAATAGCACTTGAGACCTTTAACGAGGTATCTCAAATTATTTTATTCAGAATTGCTCTTAAAATTTGCATAGGTTTAAGCATTACCTATGTGAATTATTTAAATAATTCTTAATAAACCAGTAATTACCTCTAAATTTGAACTGTATCAATTTATGAGTTACAGTACAGTACATTCAGTATCATATTGTTTTCCTATTTCCAGCAGCAAAATGCTTTAGCAGTATAACCCTTCTTAAATATTCTCCTAACCAACCCTCACCCTGTCCACGGCTCTCCTTTCACAGTCAACTTTACACATGTAATGCAGTATTATTATTCTCATTACATCTCATAAGTCCAGATTTAGTAAGTTATATTTAAGTGAACATTCTGCAAAATGTTAAAAATTTTGTATTAAATATTGTGTCGTTTCTAATATATGAAACCTATCCCAGTGTGCCATCAGCATAACTGGATATATAGGTTTAAACTAAATAATGCAAAGAAGCTGAAGATTACACGCTGTGTACCTAATCATTTGGTTAGTCAATGTTGATCGATTATATTACAAGGCAATACAGGTATTTATTTCACTTAGAATGGCATTTCTGATGATTTATGGTATTTTATGCTTTTACTAATATACATGTTATCAAACTAGCATTGGGTAAATTATTACAACTATATCATGGTGGCTTACTCATTCTGTCAGGCACATGCTTAACGATCGAGACAACAAATAAATTTATTAATCATGCTATAGCCAACTAAAAATTTAAGCAAATACTGTCTGTATGATACATTAAATAATCCAAGATAAAGGAAAGACTCCAATGCAAATTAAAACTAAACATTAAATTGTAACAAATGTATGGCTTACCTTGGACAAGGGTTGACATTAACACCTGAGACAGCTAAATTCATAAAGTTTGTAATTTTTTCTTCACCAATAATTAATCTATGGATACAACCATAAAAACCACTTGTATGAGCTCCACCAGTCATCAAAGGTAAGTCTGGCACTCCTCCTGTTAAAAAGAAAATTTTTCATTCCCATCAATTCAAAATTTACTGATTTAATTTAATTACATGACAACCTATACATGAAGTTATATTAATGCTTTGCTTCATTAACATTTAAAAATACTCACCAATATATATATTGCCCTTTGCATTGAGCGCATACATTAAACCAGGGCTTTGTCCAGCCACTGCTGGAGATCGATCTAATTTCAATGTTCCCTCCCTTTCTGTTCGTTTGATTATCAAAGTATGCCGGTCTCCATTATCTACACGACTTAATGACCGAATCAAAGCTGGACCTGCTCCCAATTCGTAGCTTAACTCCACATAACCATTTTTAACTGAAACAGAAATGAATGCATGAGGAATGATGGTAGCAAGTGTTATTCAACACTCTTACCACCACCTTTAAAGACTTACAATTTAACAACCTCTTGTACACCAAATTTACTAAACAGTGAAAAAAATATGAAGGGAAATAATATTTAATAAAACTTAAGAAACAGAGACAGCAAAATATATAGGTCGTTTTTCCCCCATTCTTTACAACTAGTTCATTCAAACTTGACCCTTCAAGTGTGAATCACTTCAGAGATCTAAGAGGTGGAAATATCTTTAGAATGGCAAGGTGGCCTGTGAGGAAATTGCTATGAGGTTCCAGGTCTTTAGGACAGAATCAGTTATGACCAAATTTGGATAATGAAAGATGGTAAGAAAGTACAGCAAGCAAAATCGTAGTCTCTGAGAAACAAGTAAAAAGGGGGCACTTGATGGAATTTAACATAATAAAGGCAGGAGAACCAGACAAGATACCACCATGGCTACTATACGAGGCTACGGAGAGGCTATGTAACCAAAAAAATAGGGTCTGAAATACAAAACTTAGCTGTAATATGAATTAAGCAACTGATGTATAATTTAGAAATGAAGCAAACAACTTACTTGCAACACTTATGTAGTCCTGTCCTTGCCCAGATACATTAGATTCTTGACCATACCAGAAGAGAAGACCATCAGACTTAAGTGTGGAGAACTCAAACAAGGCTTTCTGAGTGGCAGCACCATCTTCAGGCAACAGTGACTGATCAAACTCGACCCATGAATTGCCCAAGAATGATGCTGAACCTTCAATTTCAACAGCTAATTTGGGTAAAAAAATATACATAATTTAGATTACATTATAATAATGAATACTGCATTCACTACAGCATACATTATCCAATGAACAAATCCACAAGGGGCATGACGAGGATTCGAACCTATGTCCGAGAAGATCCCACACGCCCCTTAATCGACTGAGCTGCGACATGGTCGAAAGAATTGCAACCGGGAAATCAACTTGACCTACCACGGATCCTGCCGTCTCTCTGAGACACAAACCAGGGTTTTACACAATTCCCCCCATGCACCCGAGCTCTGTCAATAAGCTATTCTATCTCTTCGCCCTTACTTCATTACACACACATATCACAATAGTGTGATGCATCAAATGAACAAGTTTCATTTGTTCATTTGATGCATCATGCTATTGTGATTTCTGTGTGTAATACATTATCCAGTTTATGAGATGATTGCCTTTATCAAACTAGATATGGTTCAAATATGGTACTACAAGGGGTTCCAGTAGTACAGTCAGGTTTGTTCTCTACTCACAATTGAGAATTCTGGATTCAAATCCCAGGTGGGACAGAAATGGTTGGGCACATTTGCTATTATCTAATGCCCCTGTTCACCTAACAGTAAGTAGGAACCCAGGAGTTAGTCAGCTTGTTATAAGGTTGCATCCTGGGGGGGACCTCGATATAAGCCTAGCTAGTATAAATACACTCTGGCTGCCTGTCCCCCAACACAATGAAATTAAATACATGATGACAGTTATAAAAGGTATCCCCCCAGGCTAACATATTTTAGGACATGAACAGAATGATGTAAAGAGTATACCAATAAGGTTTTGTAATGAGTACACATTATTTTTTGGAACTACTATACCTCTGATTCCAACTGTGTTGAAAAGCATGTGAAGAATTATATTTTCAACTAGATATTTCTGGTTCTCTCTAAAGTACTTGATAACATAACCCATAACATCCTACTGGGAAAACAAGAATCATTTAGCAAATGTGGGCTATCCTAAATTAGTGAACTTGCTATCAAAGTAACTTTAAAGATATACATATGTCACTATCTCACCTGGTGTCAAAATTAATACCATCTCATACAGGGATCAATGCAGTACTGTATTAAGATAACTGCTTTTTCAGTGCACTGTATATTATTTACAATGCTAGCAATATTTACAATGTAAGGAAATGACTATTTAGTTACTCATGTCAACTCTCAAATGGGTATAATATACTCTTAATTTACCAAAAAATAAGGTCACCCCCAGCCTTACTAAAACATATCACAAATCAAAGATGATTTCCTATGCAAAAATATAACATCGAATGAAACAAAATATATCAGAGCAGCACCTTGGTAGCTCCCCAGAGTTTTATCTTGTGGTTCAGGTAGGAATCAGGACTTACTTGAGAGGCTCTAGTTACTACAATGGCCCAGAAGAATACCATCATTTCAAAATATCTTGTTTTCCTTCCAAGGGTGCAGAGCGCGGTAATATTTTGTGGGATGGTTTAAATACACATTCAATCACTCTCGCCATTTGTTAATTACTTAGGCTAAAGAACCTGCACTACTTCCCTGTCACAGAAATCCTTCCCCCTTAGTGATCTATATAGAACCGCTATACATCATCATATAATCCTGTATATTTTTTAAATAAAAGGCCAGGAAGCAATGCACAAGGAGCCAGGTCTCATTCCCTGTAGTCAATATGTTGGCAATGATAGTTAAGCACTATTATACTACTATGTAAATAATTTTTTTTTCTTTTGGGCATGATGTATTTTTTTATAAAGTAAATGTATAATGTTGAGGATTAATATTATTCTTAAATCTCACATAAAATAAAATTTGTCTCATACATTTGGAAATAAAGATGTATTTTCAATTTACAGTAATTGTGCTAGCTTACATAAATACTGTATATATACACTATCTCTGAAATTTAATAATGTTGGGCTTAAAAAGTTAAGAGGCAACATAGCCAAAATACTGTATGCAGATATTATACGGCACAATTCAAGTAAGTCTGTACAGTACCTGATTGAACAAAAGTATTCTGCAGAGGCATCCAAACTATCCTTACTATTCTCTACATACTCCTAAAGTGAATCTACACTTGAATCATCTCTAAGAAATGCATATTACCATTATCAAGATTATATTTAATATATGAATTATAAACAATAGAATAAATTTAAATCTACATACTGCGTTCACAGTGACTTCCAGTGAATCCCAGTGGACATTGGCATGTATAATTGTTGCCAGAACCAATGCAGGCACCATCATTCTGGCACGGATGAGCAAGGTTGCACACTCCAGGTACAATCTCACAGTTGTGACCACTGTTAGATATAAAAGAACTGGTAAGAATTTATCTTAATATGGAATTTTATTCTATTAAATTAACAGTGTCTAGTATTTATTAATTTATTGCATACAAGTGCCAGTCATTAACTACTTCTTGCTAAAAACCAGCGTTGAATGTAATGAAACGCCATTTTCTGGGCGAGACCCGGAGGCTCCCTGGAGCTTATACAGGCTGATATGCTAATGTCAGACTTTGGCATCAGTCATGTGTATGGAGTTCTGTGGCCCTACTAGGGACCACAGCCAGAACCTGGCCCCCCTCAGAGAGGCAAGGGGAGCAATGGCCTATAGAAACCCCCGTGTGGTTGGAAGCATTTTATGTCTGCCATCGACCGGGTCAGGCACCCAGAAAGGTAAGCGTCCCAAAACAAATCCCATTCTGGTGAAAATTGCTGCCACAAGCCGAACAGGTGGATAGATCTCCCCTAAAAGAAACAAGCAAACAATCATGATGTCACACGTCGCTGCGCAGCTGTCTGCGCAGCTCCCTCAACACAAAAACATAGCAGTAAGCGCTACGAAGGCAAACACCGCCTAGGAAACTGAGGCCAGAGAAGCGTCTGTCCCGGTTGACATTAGCTTATGAACCAGAGTGCTGTGTAGCCGATGCGGTGAGGTCTGGGGCCTCCCCCGGACACGCGGTGAGGCAGTAGTGTGTTATGTTTGCTTGTTTCCTTTGGATTGTAGGGAATTCTACCTCTCTGTTCAGTTTATGTTGTTAGTTTCTTACCATGTGGGGTTTGCTTTGTTATGCCTACCTTTCTGGGTGCTTAACCCCGGTCGATGGCAGAAAAGGAAAAACCCCAATCACAGGGGAGGTTTCCAGGGCCATTGCTCCCTGCAACCTCTCTGAAGGAGCCAGGTTCTGGTGCTGGACCCTAGTAGGTCTGAACTCCATTGCTAATGTCCCGGTCTATTATAACATACATTAGCCCGATAAGCTCCAGGGAGCCGTAGGGGCTCCCCACAGAAAAATTATACATACATCCATTACATACATACATATGCATAATGACTTGAATAATGTATTGAATAATGAAACTTCTCTTTCTAGTGGGTCTCTTTGTTGCTCTAAGAGATACACACTTGATTCGCTCCAAATCCAATATATCCCACCAGGTGCTTGTGAGTCATGAGCACCACTGCACAATCTGGTCCACTCAAAAGAGGCAAGGAAATCTGAGGTTGCTAACTCAACCCAGGAAAAGGGAAAACCACCAAAAGGGTATAATGTCCCCAAAGAGGCAACTGCATGGAAAAACACTGAGAACCCTGACAAATTCTGTACACACCTGGCAGCCGTTCCAACTGCTAATTACACTTCCCCACAAACAGATTGTTGTCATGGCAATCTGGAGCTCTTGTCAGCTAGCCACCTCAGTCATGCACCTGGTACAGCTTTGGTTGGAGCTCCTTGTGCCCCATTTTCCCTTCCGGACTTCACTTTCAGCCAAGCGTTGGCTATCCTTTAGTACTTTGTCCTGCAGAGGCCTATGTTTGTTTATTCCACTTTTATTTATCTTCATATGCATGTTTATTCTAGCCTCACATTTATGTTAGCCTCGAGTCTTATTCACCTCAACTGCTTGTGGATAGGGTTGCTTCTCTGTTGCTGGCATTGCCCCTGTCCTATCTGGATTCTTTTCTATGGGAATTCAGGTGTCTGCCCCTTGAGGCTGCCTCCTTTTGAGGGGCCTTATCCTGGGTAGTTTATGGGTTTCAACGCGTCTACGGTTCCAAGTTAGGGTGGAGTGGGATTTTTGTTTTCTTTGGGGCACACAGTTTTGGATTGCCTTCTGCTCTTGGCCTGTTTGCTGCTTATGATCTGAAGGAAGACACAAGCAGACGAACCACCTTGTCACATTTTCCTAGGTCAGGGAACTGTGTTAGATATTGCCTTACCCGTCATAATGAATACAAGTTTTGCATTGTGCTTGCGGGGGTAGAGCTTCAGCTCTTTGGTCCCGCCTCTCAACCGTTAATCAACTGATGTACATTCCAGTTGTACCAGGTAAATTCAAGTTCAGGTTCCTAGGCAAATTGGGCGCTATCAAATATACATTTGAAACTGTGTATGGAGTCTGCCTCCACCACATCACTTCTTAATGCATTCCCTTTGTTAACTACTCTGATGAGTAGCACACTTGCCCTGTGCCTCACTATTGATTTGAGTCCTGGCCTTGATTTGTTCTAGGTTTGAGTCCTGGGTTTGAGGATTGGGATCAATCCAGAATCAATCCAGCCAGTATCAATCCTGGCCATTCCTAGCCACGATTGACTGGCTGCTAATCCTTAACTATTTACCCCTGTTCGCCCAGCAATAATAGGGAAGTTGGTTGTCAACTGATTGGTAGATCATGTTCCAGGGGAAACTAGAATGGTAAATCTTAACCTGAGTTATGGGACTTGAATGCCCTAAGCCAGCTAACAGGAGTCAGAAGTTGTCTACTTATGTATAAAAGAAAAAACAAAAGATAGGTACAAATTAGAAAGGGACAGTCTATTGAATATAATGGAAATAGAGTGAAGAAGTACAGGTAGAAGTTGGAAACATGAACGAGTCAGAGAAGTATAAGAAAGTACTGGTACTATACAGTAGTTTACTCCCCATGTGTAGTGAATGTAGTGCTTCACTGGTAGTAGCCACCTTCACTGGCTACTACCAGTGAAGCACACAGGAAATTATCATTTATTTATTTAACAAATTAGTGAACAGTTGATTAACTGATGATCAGATTGGCTTACCTATAGCCTTCTTGGCATTCACATACATATCCTTGAGTTAGAGAAGGAGTATCAACACACTGCCCACTGTTTCTACATGGGTTTTGCTTACATGAAGAAACTGATGATCCTCCACACTGACCAACGTTTGCTGAATCAACAATTGCTTCTGCCAATTGTATTTCCTGGTCCATCAACTTTATCTAGAAAAAATTAGTTAAGATGTTTATTAGTCACAGGCAATGACATAGGTTACATTAATGTTAATTTAAAATTCTGTACCTTATTACTTAACCATGAAAAATAAACAACATTGAGCTCTCAATTATCAATTATGGCAATTTTATACTTGGTTATTAATTATAAGTTAGCACATACTTCTGCCACAAAAAACTAAAATACCCTGTATGCACATTTTAATTAAATTGTTTTATAAATGTTTTTCCAACCATCATCGACCAACCTGCACTAGGTTTATTCCATAACAGTAGCTTAATACCTAGGTATCTCAATTCACTGCTAGGTGAATAGATGATTCAGGTGTGAGGAAACATAACAAGGCATCTCACCTTGGCCAGAAATGTGACTCAGGTTCAATGATTGTGAGCTGACTGTGCTAGATATTGCCTTACCCATCATAATGAATACAAGTGCACGCCTAAAATCCAGATTATATCGTTCCAGACCTGATCTGATTTTGTGCAAAAATTTGGATTTCAGGAAATTTGCCCTTTTCTGTGGGGAGCCCCGTCGGCTCCCTGAAGCTATCCAGACTGATATGTGCTATATTAGTTTGGGAACATTAGTTACAAGAATTCTGCCTACCAGGGGACAACGAGCCAGATCCTGGCTCCCTCAGAGGTGCAGGGACCAATGGCCATATGAGCACTCTACATTTAGAGTATATCATGTCTGCCATCAATTGGGGTATACCCCCAGAAAGGTAGGTGTAACAATACAAACCTCCACCTGGAGAAAATTGCAACCTACATCCGAACAGAACCAAAGAACTCCCCCCAAAAGAAAACAAATAAACAAGCAAATCATCCAAGCAAATTTTGGATCTTGGAATCACCACAATGTAAGGTAATCATGGGCACTAGGGTAGATTGCAGGGAGGCTAGACTTAATACCATGTATGACCTGAGAAACAAGTCCTGGAGCAGGGAACCAAGGAAACAGAATCAACCCATAACATTTAATGAAGCAGAATTGGTGGCACAAAGGCAGTGGCAAAGAGCCGTCACATGACACAGCACATGATGCACCCCCAGCTGAACCAACCAAGTGCTAATAACCAAAGGATCGCTCTGAAAGTCAACCGAGTTGTACTTTGCCAAAAAAGGAGTCGGCTGCAAGTGAACAAAATGTTCACCAAGGCAAAGGAAAAGAAAGCTCGCCTCTTGGGAAGAGTATAAAGCTTCCCAACCTGAACTATCAAGAGGCAAGAGAAACCAAAAACAAGGCCTTGGCAATAGAATCACGGACCAAAGGGTACAGTGATTCTCACTTCATTTCACAGTAAAGTAAGAAGACAGAAAAGTGAGAACGCTGTTCAAAGAGCGCACAGGCTCAAGTGGCGCATGAGCAGGCCAGAGATGAAGCAAAGCATAAGGCAGCCTTCAAAACAGAGTTAATGTAGTATTGACCCTGAACGCAAGCTGCAGCGGCTCCACCAGTGCCGCTGGTGGTGAGATGCTATACCGATGAGATGCTATACCGATGATGATACTTTTCAAAACGCTTGTGCTCTTTAGAGTGGAGTACTGCTGCACAATGACAGCACCTTTCAAAGCTGGAGAAATTACTGACCTGGAGAGCGTGCAGAGATCCTTTACTGCTAGAATCCACTCAGTAAAACATCTAAACTATTGGGACCGACTAAAGAGCCTAAAACTGTACTCCCTTGAGCGCAGGCGGGAGAGGTACATAATAATTTACACGTGGAAAATATTAGAGGGGCTGGTCCCAAACCTGCACACAGAAATAACATCACATGAGACCAGAAGACATGGCAGGATGTGCAGAATACCCCCGTTGAAAAACAGAAGTGCAACTGGTACTCTGAGAGAGAACTCTATCAACATCAGAGGTCCGAGACTGTTCAACACGCTTCCACTACACATAAGGGGCATAACTGGCTGACCCCTCACAGTGTTCAAGAGAGAACTGGATAAGCACCTCCAAAGGATACCTGATCAACCAGGCTGTGACTCGTACGTCAGGCTGCGAGCAGCCGCGTCCAACAGCCTGGTTGATCAGTCCGGCAACCAGGAGGCCTGGTCGACGACCGGGCCACGGGGACGCTAAGCCCCGGAAGCACCTCAAGGTAACCTCAAGGTAAGGTGCCACACAATATGAGATCATACAGAGGCAACAGCATGAGTTCATCACGAGATGCTGATCAAGAGGAAGCCAAGAAACAGGTGCACAACATGCTTTGAAACTGAAGAGCAATGATGAAGGGGAAAGGAAGAGGGATGAAAGGAGAACCACTAAAACCTTATGGTGTTCCAGCTTCCTATTTTATGGTTAGATGCAGCTTTTCCCTTATTGTTAGATGGCATTCCTGCCTCCTCTTAAGGTTAGATGGCATTCCTGCCTCCTCTTAAGGTTAGATGGCATTCCTGCCTCCTCATATGGTTAGATGACATTCCAGCCACCTCTTATGGTTAGATGGTGTTCCAGCCTCCTTTTATGGTTAGATGGTGTTCCAGCCTCCTTTTATGGTTAGATGGTGTTCCAGCCTCCTTTTATGGTTAGATGGTGTTCCAGTCTCCTTTTATGGTTAGACGGCATTCATACCTCCTCTTATGGTTAGACGGCATTCATACCTCCTCTTATGGTTAGATGGCATCGATAGATAGATGGAGCAGAGGGTGCTCCAGCCACCTCTTATGGTTAGACGGCATTCATGCCTCCTCTTATGGTTAGATGGTGTTCCTGCCTTCCCTTACGGTTAGATGGTGTTCCTGCCTTCCCTTACGGTTAGATGGTGTTCCTGCCTTCCCTTACGGTTAGATGGTGTTCCTGCCTTCCCTTACGGTTAGATGGTGTTCCTGCCTTCCCTTACGGTTAGATGGTGTTCCTGCCTTCCCTTACGGTTAGATGGTGTTCCTGCCTTCCCTTACGGTTAGATGGTGTTCCTGCCTTCCCTTACGGTTAGATGGTGTTCCTGCCTTCCCTTACGGTTAGATGGTGTTCCTGCCTTCCCTTACGGTTAGATGGTGTTCCTGCCTTCCCTTACGGTTAGATGGTGTTCCTGCCTTCCCTTACGGTTAGATGGTGTTCCTGCCTTCCCTTACGGTTAGATGGTGTTCCTGCCTTCCCTTACGGTTAGATGGTGTTCCTGCCTTCCCTTACGGTTAGATGGTGTTCCTGCCTTCCCTTACGGTTAGATGGTGTTCCTGCCTTCCCTTACGGTTAGATGGTGTTCCTGCCTTCTCTTATTGTTAGATGGCATTCCTGCCTCCTCTTAAGGTTAGACGGCATTCATGCCTCCTCTTATGGTTAGATGGTGTTCCAGCCTCCTATTATGGTTAGACAGCATTCATGCCTCCTCTTATGGTTAGATGGCATTCATGCCTCCTCTTATGGTTAGATGGCATTCATGCCTCCTCTTATGGTTAGATGGCATTCATGCCTCCTCTTATGGTTAGACGGTATTCATGCCTCCTCTTATAGTTAGATGGCATTCCTACCTCCTCTTAAGGTTAGAAGAATTCCTGCCTCCTCTTATGGTTAGAAGGGTTCCTGCCTCCTCTTATGGTTAGAAGGGTTCCTGCCTCCTCTTATGGTTAGAAGGGTTCCTGCCTCCTCTTATGGTTAGAAGGGTTCCTGCCTTATGGTTAGAAGGGTTCCTGCCTCCTCTTATGGTTAGAAGGGTTCCTGCCTCCTCTTATGGTTAGAAGGGTTCCTGCCTCCTCTTATGGTTAGAAGGGTTCCTGCCTTATGGTTAGAAGGGTTCCTGCCTCCTCTTATGGTTAGAAGGGTTCCTGCCTCCTCTTATGGTTAGAGGGTTCCTGCCTTATGGTTAGAAGGGTTCCTGCCTTATGGTTAGAAGGGTTCCTGCCTCCTCTTATGGTTAGAAGGGTTCCTGCCTCCTCTTATGGTTAGAAGGGTTCCTGCCTCCTCTTATGGTTAGAAGGGTTCCTGCCTCCTCTTATGGTTAGATGTGTTCCTTCCTCTTATGGTTAGATGTGTTCCTACCTCATATTTTAAAATATAATTCTTGACTTACTTGTAAAGAATCTTATTCTCATTGTAAATCATAATATTATTATTATGTGTTAAGGTACTACTTGGCTTAATATATTTTTTAATTCAACATTTCAACTGAAATTTAATTTTAAATTCAAATATATTGTATTTATAAGTAATATTCTCATAATACTACAAAATGATGATTTTCTTTTCAGAAAGAAAATTGTCAAAGAAAAATGTAAAAATTATACGGGCAACACAAGACACGTTTAGTTACCTCTGAAACACATCCTGTGAATCCATTTTTGACTCCTACTTCAGGTGATATAGCAATGCGAGAGCGATCTACACCTCCAATGAATAATGGGGTAACTAGATTAAGTCCACGATTTGATCCTGGAGATTCACCATTCAACACCTGGCCATCATTAATCATCAAGGAACCTAGGCGGTCTGTTCTGTTTGCCCGAACCTGTAACATAAAATGTGTTAGGATGAAATATAGGATGCACTTAATGACTTATTACAAGTAACTTACATATTTTGGAACTATGCTACATTATTCAAATTAAAAAACTAGCATTGAATGTATTGAAACGCCATTTTCTGGGTGTGACCCGGAGGCTCCCCGGAGCTATCCGGCATGATATGAAGATATTAGACCATAGCCTCAGTCAAGCGAATGTAGTTCTTAGACTTACTGAGGACCACAAGCCAGAACTTGGTCCCCTCAGAGAGGCACGAGGAGCAATGGCTTATAGAAACCCCCTTGTGGTTGGAAGCATTCTATGTGTGCCATCGACTCGGTGGGGTTCCAGCCCACCAAGTTGAACCATTAGTTCGGAGAATGACTAAATGGAACAAAAACCGCCGACCAGAGGGAGGGAGGGTGCTGGGGGAGCCTCCGAGGGTGCTACACAGAAAATGGCATTGCATTACATTCAACGCTGGTTTTCTGTGGAGAGCCTCGTCAGCTCCCTGGAGCTAGCTACTCAAAAAGCAGGATATTAGGGACTTACCCGGGAGGCGGCTGCAGTGCACAACTCGTAACAAAGATGAGACAACTCTCTGCAACTGCCGATCCAAGGTGACACAAGACCGCTGAGGGCCTGGTACATTAACACGATAATGGGCAGCCAGGACCTGTTCGACCTCCAAAACCCCCGCGACCGAATATCAGCCCAAGACATATTACCAAACACAGCAGCCCTGAGAACCAGAACCTGGCAAGCTGGGAAAGAACCACATCCCTGGCGAGCAGACAAGCGGACCAACTGGGAGCCCACACCAGCCAGTCGTTGAGATAGGCCAGGACTCAAACCCCTAGCATACACAGATGGGCCACCACAACCCGGGGTAAGATGCGTGAATATGTGAGGTGCCAGATTCAAGCCAAAAGTCAACAAAAGCTGTAAGCCTGACACCTCACCACAAAACCTAACCAATCCATGAACCCAGGATGAATAGGAATGTGCCAATACGCATCCATGAGGTCTAGGGACACCATCCAGGAACCCAACTCCAACAGAAGCTGGACATCCAAAAGTGACCACTGGAGAGTGGTCATCCAAAAATAATGGAGGCGAAATCCGAGTCTCGCAGGAGGTATGCAGCAAGAGCCTTCCAAACCTCCCGCATGGAGATACGAGAGGCAGAAAACCTCTGGAAGGATGGGGCCGAGAAACAAAGGGAGCCCGGAACCGAACCGAAATCATACTCATTCAGGGAAGCGGAATAAGAAAACCCCTCCCCCCTGCAATAACAAGCCCTGCAAAGAGGGCACTAACACCCAAGCGGAGTCAAAGACGGCCCAAGACTTCCAGGTCGACTTCTTCCCAACCCTGGGATCCCCCAAACCAGTACCTGGGCAAAGCAGTCCTCCATACCCTCTACCCCCTGAAGAAACGGCAGAGTCCAAGGGAAAGGCTGAAAAGAAGGGGGCCTGCTGGTGGGACCTAGAAGCCTCGGCAGGAGGAACCGGCTCAAATGCCTCCGTCCCCAACTCGAATGAGGCAGCCCCCGACGCTGGCCGAGTCTCATTACCAACTAAACCCTGCTCCGACTCCAAAACTCTCAGATGCTTGGGAGCCAGAAGCAGGAAGGAAGATGCAGGATGAACAACAGGGGAAGGCCCAGTTAGCACGGACTGAACCAAAGTAGAACCGATGAACGCCACCAGGTCTGGGTCCCTATAACCAAAGCGAGGCAGCCGTAGGGCATCCGGGTTGGAAACCAACCTAGTGTATTACAGCAACCTGAACCTAGCATGCAACGCAGATGTTGTCTGTACCCTAATAGAAATGTCATCAGAATAGTACTGGAGAACAAAGAGAGAAATCAACTTGCAAGACTCCGAGTCAAAGGTGTTGTTGACCACACAGGCAGCATGAAGGAGGCAAAACAGGTGACTGTCACCCTGAGACAAGGGCACACAGCAACCTTCGAACCCACACAAGGAGAGCTGGAACTTGGAATACGCATCCATTGGTCCACCGAGCTCCAACAGGGTTTTCCAAGGCCAGTAGGCTGACTGCTATGGGAAGCCTGGGCAAGGTACACTATTGCTAACTGGTTTAGACCCATAGCTAACAAGGGGGAGCTCAAAACACTGAAACCCCTGTGACATGAATAATCTCGGGGGGCCTAGCAGTGGGCCATCAAAATATTTTAAGTGAAACTATAGCCACATCAGGCAGACCCCCACCAGGCAAGAAACAAAAACAAAATAAAACCCCCCCACAAATGTACAACGTCCCCAGAGGAAACAGAAACTGGCCGCAGTGTAGGTTGGCAGGCAGCACAACACCTTGATGCCCCAACCAACACGATACCACTTCCCACACAAGGATAAACAAGGGCCACGAATCCCCAGCTGGCCCCAAGGGAGGGGTAAATGCCGAGCAGCAAAAGCCCCCTACAGAAATGGTTATCCTGAATGTACCAGGGAAGGTAACACTAACACGCAAGGGCAGTACTCACAGGGCGTCTAGGAAAGGATGCTCCCTAAGTGCATGCAGCCCCGGCACTGATGATGAACACCTGGCCGCCACCACACAACAACACTGCATTGGTCGCCACGAAGGTAAAACACCACTTTGGAAATAGAGGCCAGAGAAAACGTCTACCCCGGATCACATTAGCTAGCAAACTGGAGTGCTGGGTAGCCAGCACAGACGAGGGGCATGGCAGTGTAGTGTTACGTTTGCTTGTTTCCTTGGGATTGGAGAGAGTTCTACCTCTTTTCCATTTTTAGTTATTATTTTCTTCCCATGTGGGGTTTGTTTTGTTGTGCCTACCTCTCTGGGTGCCTAACCCTGGTCGATTGCAGATAAGTAAAACCCCAACCACTGTTTTTTTTTTCCAGGGCCTCTCTGAAAGGGCCAGGTTCTGGCTCGTGGTCCCTGGTAGGTCGAACTCCATAGACTAATGCCCCGGTCTAATATATCACACATTAGCTCAATAACTCCATGGAGCCGTAGGGGCTCCCCACAGAAATAAAAGAAAAACCCTGCAAAAGTACAACGCAAATATATTGTTACAAATTAATTTAAAACTGCTCAATACTTTACATCAATAAAAATAGCAAAACTAACCTCAATCCACTGGCCTTCCTGAAGAGCATCACTCTGAATATTTGCAGTCCCACTTCCGGTATTGAAACGGAACTCCAAACGCTTATTTCGGATTGCTAATGATGTAAAATCTCCTTCACCACTTTCTTTTTGTGCACAGTACATTAAAACACCATCATCTAAATTCTATAAATAAACAATAATTAATATCACATAACAAAAATAAGTATAAAAGTGCTTATTCATATATGTGGGAGTGAGTGTGTATTGTTTGTATACAATATTTTCATTATCTAACACTTTATATGACACATGCTGCAAGCAGCTTTCACATTCATAAAAAAAAAAAAAAAATACATACCTCAGGTTTAAAGTTCAGATCAACAGAAAACCGTCTCAGTGCTCTCGGTGTTGGGTATGCAATATAAGCTTCATTTCCGAATGCTGGCTCATAGATTGTGATGTCCTGTTCACAGCGTTGTCCAACCTTGCCAAATGGACAGTAACATTCAAAGCCTCCAGGTTTGTTGACACAACGACCGGTACCGCACACACCTAAACAAATATATAATTCATAAAAGATTAACTTTGTAAATAAATAAATAAATACACACCATATAAAGGATACAGTGACAAATGCCAAATAACTTCTACTTCAGGGCCCACACCTGGGTTTTCTCGGAACATGCTTTCAGAAAAATAATTCTTTGATATCCAACATTTGTTACATGTATTTACTATAAAACAAGCATTGAATGTAATGAAATGCCAATTTCTGGGTGAGCCCTGGTGGCTTCTTAAAGCTACTTTCTTCGATATAGGTAATTACCCAAGTGTAATTACCTAAATGTAGTTACAGAATGAGAGCTACGCTCGTGGTATCCCGTCTCCCCAGCATTCTTTGTCATATAACACTTTGAAATTACTGACGGTTTTGGCCTCCACCACCTTCTCAACCAACTTGTTCCAACCGTCTACCACTCTCTGTTTACAAAAGTGAATTTTCTTATATTTCTCCGGCAGCTTTGTTTCGTTAGTTTAAATCTATGACCCCTTGTTCTTGAGATTCCGGGTCTCGGGAATTCTTCCCTATCAATTTTATCGATTCCTGTTACTATTTTGAACGTAGTGATCATTTTGCCTTCTTTTCTTCTGTCTTCGAGTTTTTGCATGTTTAATGCCTCTAACCTCTCCTCGTAGCTCTTGTCCTCCAGTTCTGGGAGCCACTTAGTGGCATGTCTTTGCACCTTTTCCAGTTTGTTGATGTGCTTCTTAAGATATGGGCACCATACAACTACTGCATATTCCAGCTTTAGTCTAACAAGTCGAGAACAATTTCTTTAGTATTTTTCCATCCATGTAAAAGAAATTCTGAAGTTAGAAAGTGTAACATAGGCTCCTCGCACAATGTTCTTAATGTGGTCCTCAGGTGACAGTTTTCTATCCAGAACCACCCTAGATCCCTTGTTTTGTCAGAAGTCTTTAAAGATTTCACACATAATTTATAGGTTGTGTGGAGTTTATGTTCTCCAATTCCACATTCCATAACATGCATTTATTCACATTAAATTCCATTTGCCAAGTGGTGCTCCATATACTTATTTTGTCTAGGTTTTCTTGAAGGGCATGACAATCATCTAGGTTTCTTATCTTCCCTATTATCTTAGCATCATCAGCAAACATGTTCATATAATTGTGTATTCCATCCGGTAGATTGTTTATGAAGACAATGAACATTACCGGTGCAAGAACTGAACCCTGGGGTACTCCACTTGTGACATTCCTCCAATCCAATACATTGCCTATGATTACAGCCCTCATTTTTCTATCAGTTAGGAAATTTTTCATCCATGTTAGAAGCTTACCTGTCACCCCTCCAATATGTTCCAGTTTCCAGAACAACCTCTTATGTGGGAACTCTATCAAAAACCTTTTTTACGTCCAGATAGATGCAGTCAACCCAACCATCTCTTTCCTGTAAAATCTCTGTGGCTCGATCATAGAAACTGAGTAAATTCGTTATACAGGAGCTTCCAGATCGAAAGCCATACTATCTGTCTGATATTATATCGTTATTCTCCAGGTGTTCTACCCATTTAATTTTAATTATTTTTTTCCAATATTTTGACTATTACACTTGTCAATGATACAGGCCTATAATTGAGGGGGTCTTTCCTGCTTCCACTTTTGTTGATTGGAACTATGTTAGGTTTTTTCCACACATCAGCTACAACTCCTGTACACAGGCCATCTACTAAGTGCTATCAGTTGCAGAATTCTAGCCTATGGGGGGTATAAAGTGCCAGATCCTGATCCCCTCAGAGAGGTGAAGGGAGCTGTGGCATTTATATATTAGTTTACTCATTAATATATAGTCTGTGAATCGGCGAGTCAAAACAAACCACAGCTGGCTGCCTCAGAGAACTGCAGGCTCAATTACCTGAGCCTGAATCTTGACATGCCATTAGTACAAGCATTTGAACTCTAGTGCACCTTTAACCATTAACCCTTGTAAGCTCCCAACCTCAGAGCATTACAGAGAAGTCAATTACCCTTGCACTACTGTGGGTGAGGCACCCTACACAATGGGCCAGCCTCTATGGAATGAACTCTCAAACCCACCAAAGAAGTCACTCTTTCAGGGCAGGGGCAATGCCAGATGAGCATGTTAACATGCAGCTCGAAGTAAAAATTGACCAAAGTCCACACAATACGTGGGGTTTTTATTCATACACACTTGAAGCTATCATTAAACCTCAAAATGTTTCAAAAGCAAAAGGCCTTGCAACTGGACGAAGTCCAAAGGGTGGGCCATGTTTATCTAGCATTCAGGACCCACGGGCTGGCGACTCAAGGAACAGTCAATACAGAGGGATATAAGCAATAAGATTGAGCTCTGTTGATATGGGTAGCCAGGGGCCAGAATCACAAAGCAGTTACGCAAGTACTTACGAACTTGTACATCTTTCCTCAATCTTTGATGGCTTTGGTTACATTTATTAAACAGTTTACAAGCATGAAAACTTCTCACAATCAACTGTTATTATTGTTATAAACAGCCTCTTGGTGCTTCGGAGCTCATTAACTGTTTAATAATTGTAAACAAAGCCACCAAAGGTTGAGAAAAGATGTGCAGGTTCGTAAGTACTTGCGAACTGCTTCGTGAATCTGGACCCATAGCTCCTAGCACTGGGAGGTGGTGCTACCTGCCAGTGGCTAGCTGTAACCAGTGTGTTCGCCCTAACTGTTGGGTGGAAAGTTTGCTTCTTTGTTTTTATCTGTGAACTCTGCAATTGTCTGTTTTGCTTCACTTATTTTCTGGATGTTTCCAGGGTAAGAGTGATCATAACAATCTCCTGCTCCCTGCACTTCTGTAAGGGGCCAGGTTTTGGCTCTGGTCTCAAGTAGGCAATACAGATTTCTGGGGCTGATGAGACTCATATGTGGAGTTACTTCACGGAACCACTGTTTGGCCCCTCTAGGAAAGTAGTGTGGACAGAAATAAAGCAAAGAGATTAGATAACATTTATAAAGAAGACAACACACAATGAGCACAGCTTTTCCTAAAACTACAATATTTGAAAAACTTCAATACAATATAGGACAGGGAAAGGAAGATTTTACAAATATAGGCTAGACTGCATGAGAGAGAGAAATGATGCAGAATTAATAGTTTCAATAATGTTGATTGTAATGTAGAATTACTGTTGCATAGTTTCAAAATGTAGATGCACTATGTATTTATAATTTTAAAATAAGGATAATGCAATACAATTATTTGATAGAAATTAAGTTTTCCATTGAAGTAATCCTTACCTGCATAACATGATTCACCAGTGTCTTCACATAGAACACCAGAGAATCCAGCAGGACATATGCATTTATGTCCCGCTTTAGTGTACGCTTCCTGACAGACTCCATTGTTGTGACATGGATTGCCAGCACAAGTCTCACAAGAGGTTAATCCTACCTATAAAAATGTAATACAATTATTAGGTTTTAAGCAAATTCTGTATACTTTACAGAACATTACAAACAATAAATAACCATAATACCTGTACAGTATTATCAGATTTTATAACATTTGACACTTATTAAAACAAAATATAAACCATTTCCAACTAGAAAACCTAATAATAGAACCTATGGAACTAATAATGTATGAACCTATGGAACTAATAATGTATGAACCTATGGAACTAATAATGTATGAACCTATGGAACTAATAATGTATGAACCTATGGAACTAATAATGTATGAACCTATGGAACTAATAATGTATGAACCTATGGAACTAATAATGTGCTAATGGTACAAGGGCACATTCCTCCAATTATTGATTTTCCTTTGACTTGATACAGTTATAAGCTTTCATACTACAGATCTCGGTAGTACAGTCGGGTTCATTTTCGACTCACAATTGAGAATTCTGGGCTCAAATCCTGAACTGTTAGGTGAAAATGGTTAGGTGTGTTTCCTTTCACCTAATGCTCCTGTCCACCTAGGAGTTAGTCAGCTTGTTGTGGGGTTGCATCCTGGGGGGACGACCTCGATATAAGTCTAACATGTACTGTATTTACGTATATACTGGCTGCATGTCCCTTGATACAACGAATTATCGGTATTATTATTATTAGATGGTGTCGTTTTTGACTTACGGTTGGGAATCCCAGGTTTGATTCCCAGGTGGGATAGAAATGGTTGAGCATGTTTCATTTCACTTAATGCCTTTATTCTCCTAGCAGTAAATCGGTACCTCAAAATTAGGCAACTGTTTTTTTGGTTGCATTTGGATTAGAGTCAGTAATTCGATACACACCTAAAGAATATATACAAAGACTTCCTGTCCCTAACAAAATACAAATTAATTATCTATTTACTATTCAAAATGTGATTAGGAATCATTAATTCAGTCTTAATTATTGTTCCCACTGAGAATATTTGCCAAATCTATACCTATAAAATAGGATGTCTGTTGGGGTTCTCCCAATGTAACTTTCACACAAGAAACATTGGGTATGTGAGTGTCATAGCCAGTTGGGGTTGGCCTAAGTGCCATGTTTTAAGAAATATCTGCATCTTAGGTGTCCCCCATGCAATTTTTACAAAGTCTGAAATGAAATATAAAATGAAATAAAACAAAATCATTAGTTATATTTTCCATAGAGCTTTGATGTCTACTCCTGCCTTTACCCAAGTGAAATGGGAGAAGAGAGGGAGGAGAAGGAGAGGGGGAAAAATAGGGGGGATATATGGGGAGATGGAAAGAAAGAATGGAGGAAAGAGCGGGGAAGGTAGAGAGGGTGAGAAAGGGGAAAAAATAGAGAGGTGAGAGAGGACAAAAAAAGGAGAGGCGAGAGAGGGAAAAAGGGAGAGGTGAGAGATGGGGGAGAGAGGGAGACAAGAGAGAGGGGAAGACAGGAAGATAGGGTGGAGGAGAGGAGGGAAGATGCTGGAAGAAAGGAGAGTAGAGGCGTCTCTCTCCCTTTAATTAGAAGAGACAAATGTAGGAGAAAACATCAAGGCCCAAGAATCAGACTCTACAGGATACCTATCCCAACCAACCACAGGTAAGGCCCTAATTTGGGAGAATTGCCTCAAGCAGAAGAGAAAGAACCTCTCTGCAATAAAACCCAACTGAGAAGCTGGAAAGCAGAAGCCATGTCTGAAAGCATCGAAGAGAGCTTCCTCAAGAGAAAGGAGGGACAGAAAGTGGGAGATGAACAATAGGATTAGAGTCCAACCCAAATCTGCCTGAGCAAGCACAGCCTGCTGACATGCAAGGATAATAAGGAAAAACTCTGCCATCACTTCCCAAAGAAAGGGAGCGAGCAACTTAGGCAAGGCTACCAAAGCTAGAATATTAGTAACAGAGCAACACCAAGCACTGAAGCCAAAATATCCCCAGAGTTGGTCAGAAAATAGCTCCATGGCAGCCAAATGAGCGCAGCCTATTATTCTCCATGGTCTGGACTCTGGAAAGCAAAGGCACAAGGAGCTGACACACGTTAAAGTCCTTAGGTAAAACCAGGTCAAACACGCAATTCTCCAGTAAACAAATGTACTGCTGAAGAACATCTGAAAGACGAATGTCACCTCCTGCCACTCAAGTGTTTGGATACAGTAAAAACCATGCACAGTCCCAAAGGAAAACAGGGAATTATCTGCAAGTCAGGAAGAATTGGAGACACTGTACCATAATCTAAAAGTTGAAGCCAACCAGAATTCAAATGAGGATGGGTCCACCAAGGTAGAGAGGTCCTGATTCTGCAAGAGGAATTGAAAGAGGTCCGCCCAAGCTGAAGAAGGCAAAAGGAAGGATGATGGAAACCTCTGAAAATAAGATCTATCCAAGGATTCAAACGATACACAAAATGAATCCATGGAGGAGCAGCTGTGGAATCCCGCTCAAACATTGATGGAGGATAAGTTTAGCCTACTGCCAAAGGGCTGAAAGGGACCTAGGGACCTTCCCCAGTCACAAATGTCACATACAAAGACTCTGAAGCAGATCTGTATTCCACGTCTGTTGTCAAAAAGGAGAAGAAAGCATTATCGCAACTAAAGAATCAGAGGTTAACATAACCAACCACCTTCCCTGTAAAAAGAAGACTCCAAGTCTCCAGTGGGAAAGGACGGATTAGCCATCTCCATTGTTGATGTGGACAGGTCAACACAGGAGGTGGCCAAGCTACACCCACAGCTAAACCTTGCCTAGAATCTGAAACCCTCAAACATTTTGGAGCCCATAACAAGGGATAGGAGGAGGGGAAGGGTAAGAGAGATCTAGTGAACTACGCCAGATGGAATTTGGGAGGGAGGGAAGGAAGGACAAACTTAATAACAGGTAGAATTTGCCAACTCCTCCATCTCAGAATCCCTAAACATCATAGGGGCCAACTCCAGGGCATAGATGTGTTCAAGCCACAAACAACAAACATGAGCAAAACAAATTCATAATGCAATTGCTGCCTGATAAATCTCTTGTCCTGAGAAAGGCTATACCAAAACTGAGACCCAGTGAACACAAACAATACAGGTTATGGGGTGGAAGGCATCACTCGCCTAATGGGCAGCACGTCGTTGACAAAATGTACGACATCCCTCAATCTTCGCAAGTATTGAGTCTGGGCTAGGCAAGTCAGTCCATAATGAGCCATACCTAAGACCTGATGGACTTTCTAGGGCATGAAGAGAAGAACTGATGCTGAATGCAGGCCCAAGGATAAACACAGCTGTGAAAGGCATCAGCACCTTTAATGCACAGTTTAATCAAAACCCTGAATGCTCCAACATCAGAACCTTGCAGAGAAGTCAAAGACCCTTGCATTACTCAGGGTGAGGCACCCTATACAGTAAGCTGGTCTCTATGGGACTAACTCCCAAACACATCAGGAAAGTCACTGTCAAGACAGAGAATGTCTACCAGGAAAGGGCAGCCCAAAGCTAATGCAGCTCGAAGCACACATGTTAAGCACATGCATGTGAATCTAACACTAAACCTTGAAAACAATATGCAAGCAAAAAGTCCACACAGGACAGAGTCCAAAGTATGCCCAATACTTATCTAGAAACAGTTGGGACCCATGAATCTGGCAACTCAAGTAGTGACCCACACAGGTAAACATCAGGTGAAGGACTAAATAGTATTGTCATCGGACCCAGCAACTCTCAGTGGTGCTGCCACCTGGCAGTGGCCAGCTTTAACACTTTCTGCAGATGAGGACTCCTCCCGGCGTCCTGTTTCGCCTACCCGCTCCCGCTAGGTGGACATAAATTTATGTCCTCTTTTAAAATATTTGTATAAAATTCAATTTTTATCCGATTTACTTTGGGTTTGTTTCAAACTGCGCGCCATGAGGCTCTCTTTCTCACCAATAGGCTGCATGGTACAATAAGTTCATGAAAGGTTCACAAACATAACAAAAGTAAAAACATTTTGTGTGTGTTTGACTCTCACTGATATGTTCCAGCGTTGTTTTATATTTGGCGCTATTCTATCTTACGCTTTGTTGATCTTTTTTACCTACGGGCTCATAGAACATTCTATTGCGAACACATTGACACAAAAATGAATGACGTACATAGAATAATAATGTCATGAGAGTGAAATAAGTATAAACTTTCAAAGCGCCGTGCGTCGTCCCGTCACCGATACCGGGTAACAATTTCACCACTTCCCACACTCTTGCGGGCGGGCCGCAATCATTATTCTACACTTATATTCATATCACCGTGTTGGGAATTTCATTGCGAGTCCATTGATACCAAAATTAACGCTGTAGGACAAGTGTGGAGGTGATAACAATCCCAAGAGTAAAAACATTTTGTTGCTGTTGGGCGCTCACGGCGAGTCATCTTCGTAGTTATTTATTTGGTGCTGGTATCCCTATACGTTTCGTGACTTTTTTTACTGATGTTCTTCTAGATAATTTTATTGCGAACATGTTGGTACCAAAATGAAATATGTAGCTCGAGAACTAAGGTCAGGAGAGTAAAAAGAGTATACACATTTTTGTTTTTACGCTTACGCGGCAAAACGCCGTGAGCACATACCGCTTTCTTTTTTTACCTTCGCCGGGAGGCTGAAAGTGTTAACTAGGGAGGCTCATACTGTACTAATTACTGGGTGGATCGTCTACCGAGTCATTTAATGCTTCACTTCTCTTTTCTCTGTGAACCTTGAAGTTGTCTGTTTTATTCTGCTTATTTTCTAGATGTTTCCTTTAGTGAGGGTGATTAAAAAGAATCCCTTACTCCCTGTTCTTATGTGCGGGTGCCAGGTTTCACTCTGGTCTCTAATTGGCTATTAAGGACTTCCAACAGTGATGTGACATGTGTGGAGTTATATCAGTGCAGCCTGCTTCACGAAGCAACTGTTCGGCTCCTCCAGAAAAACTATTATTAAAAATGTGTAGCATTTACCAACTAATTCACCCGAGAAACATTCAAATTAAAGAGATTCCATTATAGATTTTAATTCCACTTTCAAATGGTTAAAAAAAAAAAATTCAGATAAATTGCACACTATTGATGACAATGCCAATGCACATTTCAAACTTAAGGATACAAGCTAATAAATTCACACTGAACAAAGCCTCACCTTATGTTTTACTTCTCTCATTAGGTCTACAGCATGATGTGTGCCAATCGTTAATCGACTTATGCAGCCTCTGAATCCTGTAGTAAAGCCAGCTTGCTCATGAATTTTACTGAAATCTGGCACACCACCCAAGTACATAGGTTCAATAAGGTCAAGTCCAAGGAAGCGTCCTACACTACGGCCAATAACAGGTGCCTCATCATTTACTACCATTGTTCCTGTAAGAAAAATTTTTGAACTTTATGATTTAAATATACAGAGAAAGAAGGCACAATATTTAGTGGACATGGTAGGAATAGATGTTGGAAATTAAACTTTTAGCACCATCCTGAAATTAATACTGTTACATTAAACATAAAAAAATATTTCATATAGTCTACAAGTATGCGAACAAAGCAATGGATAAGGAAAATAGCTGATATTTTTTTCTGTTTCAAAACTAGTCAAGCACTACTGAGTGGGTAACTGTTGAATGTCTAAGTTAGAACTGTCATACTGCAAAAATTAAGCACTGAATGAAATACAAAGTCCTTTTTTGGTGGGCCCTAAGTACCTCCTGAAGCTAGTATTGCTAGTACAGAACTGCTAAGCCTTAGGAAAATGTAACAGGCCTCTTATACCCATTCTCACCTACCAGGAGCCAGGCCTATAATCTGGCTCTACAAGGAGGGGGTAGCTTGGAAACCAAGAAATCACCCCTTAATGTGGTTAGAGGATCAATATCACTGCTACTCAGTTTCTGACTAGGCTTCCTGCTTGATGATCTGGTCAATCAAGCTGTTAGATGCAGTTGCATGCATTCTGAAGTGTGAATTACAGCCTAGTTGATTATGCACCATTTGGAGGCATTTATCAAATTGCTTTTGAACACTGTAAAGGTTGATTAGTTAGAATCCTCCCTCACATTTAGTGGGAGGGTGTTTAGTCTTATGCCCTCACTCTTTATTGAATTGTCTTCAAAGAGTACTTATTACACCCCCTTTTACAATAAGGCTATTTTTTTATGTTTTACTATCCCACCTGGTCTAGCAAGGCGTTGTTTCAGTATGCAGATTTGGAACCATCCCCTCTAATATTTTCCAGGTGTAAATAATTATGCATCTTTCTTGCTATTGCAGATTGCATCTTATATAACATGGATGAGGAAGTGGATTACCTTCAGATACTTTTAGAGGTACTCCAGAAAGACTTAAAATCTCAGTTGAGTACCAGTTAACTAATATAGGACAACAGTCTTGTATTTGTCAGGCTCGAGTTGTAATCTCTGATGATCCAAGTGTTGATGATATGTTATTACCAGCACTATTGTGGTGATTGGGTTATGTGGTCACGAATGAATGTAAGCATGAACAGCTATATGGAGGAATATTCTTTACATCTATAAATTCTGGAATAATGTAGACCAGTGTAAAGATATATCTTATCAGAATTAGGACCACTGTGAGCTAATCCAAAACTCTGTGTAAGGATTGGGATATTAATGACTCTGAATGCCAAAAGTTGGAGAGAATATATTAAATATGTATAGTTTAAGAATCTACATATAATATTAGGTTAACAAACAAAATCTGTTAAGTCAAGGTAAATGAATCCGTGTATGAAGACTATAGGCTACAGTTTCTAGCAATGAGGACCTGTGAAAAATTATTAATGAAGTCTTCAAAATACCTTAACACATACAAATTATATTTTATATATGTTATCAATTCTTCATATCCACGCAATTAATACAATTTCAGGTTGCTGAACATCTTACCTTCTTTTCGGTCCCTGGAGAGTTTTACAGTATGCCACTGGTCGAGTTCTAAGGGCTGCCTGGAACGTATAACAGCTGGCCCAGACCCAACATCAAAGCGAAACTCGGCATAACCATCACTCATCCCAAACGACACAAAATCTCCATCCTCAGAACCAGCACGTTGACTGTTATACAGGATTAATCCTGAAAGTTGTTAATTAAAAATTATTTGTTTGCAATAATAATTTAAAATATTAATTTAAAAAAATTTAAGCTATATTGAAGTGCTAAATTTAACACTGAACATATGCAAATCTAAACTTGTACAGTATACATGTTTATCTACAACTGTCTAATTGTAGTTACACGATGAAAACAATGCTAATTGTGCCCCATTTTCTTTATACATTTTATCATATGCAGTTTTAAAACTAGCTGTATTTTGTTCAAAACAATTGTTTCCTACAATTTCCTCCATACCTCAACTACTCTATTATCGAAGAATCATTTTCTGATATTCTTTCTATACGAGTTCTTTATCTTGTACCTGTGTTCTCGTTCTATTTTTGGGCAGGTACTGTATCAAGATTTATCAACTTTATTAAACACTGATATATTATTATTTTGTATGTGGTGATGTGATCTTCATATTTTCTTCTATCTTCCAAATTAAGTATCTTCTGTAAATCAAATCTCTCCTTGAAGGTGAACAGAGAGTCCTGGGATCCATTTTGTTGCATACCTTAAAACTATTCCTATTTTATCTACATGCTTCTTGAAATGTAAACATCACTCCACCAATGTTTAATTCTGCATCACATATATAATAATTTGTTTAACATTTGACTGTACATGCCTTTAAATGCTATTGTGGAGTTGGCTAGGGCTGCAAAGACCACACACTTTGCCACTAATATGGTCCTGTGGTAATGTACTAGATGTAACAGTCACATCAAAGTATCTTCTCTTGCCTGATTTTATTACAATTCACTTGCATATTCTAGTTAAGTTTAGATTTATATCCACTCTTTCCGTTCTCCATAGCATGACATTTTCCCTACATCACTGCATCACTGTTTTACACACATCAGCCATTTCTTCCTTTAACCCTCAAACCGCGCATATCGTATATAAATGATATCAGTGACAAAACCGAAACCACGCACATCATTTATATATGATTTCGTGTCTAGCGCTATAATTTAAACGCCCCGCCTGGGATAGGGGCAGCTATAGTACAGCCACAACCGATAGTTGCCAGATACCACCTAGAAAAAAATCCAGGCCAACATTCTTGGGTGTTAGGGCGTCAGTATTGAGCAAGCCACCAAGGCTGGCGCACGCAGCACGAGCTCACAGCACCGCTGTTCAGCTTGTGACCACAGCATCGCCTACAAATGCCATAATATATATGATACTGCTATTATTTAGCAGTGATAGTATTACTGAAGCCCACTGACTGTGATAAAACTGACCAGGATTCTGATAATAGCAGGATTGTGGTGATATTTAGCACTGTGCCCCATGGAGGGAAGAGTAAGGCTGTGGAGGGAGGGTTGTGGCGTCGTCTTCTGACTGTGTGTGGTCACCTTATATTGACTGCACTCACCATACCAGCTTAGTGGTTTGCTACGGTGAACACAAATGTAGATACTTATATATAATGTGTGTATAGTGTGAAATAACAGCGAGAGGAGTAGGTTGGGAGCTGCCATTTTGGTTAGGGAGGAGCGTCGTCTGCACGACTTGGCATGTTGTTTACTGATGGCCACTATGGTCTTTGGGCACCATACCAGCTTATTTGTACAGGTATGGTGAATAAAACAGGTAGATACTTATATATAATGTGTGTATATAGGGTAATAACACCACAAACAATATTGTTGGACGAGAAATATTAGTGCGTCTGGCCTTGAGGGCAGTTGCCGATCAGCTGACTGTGTGAGGTCCAACGTCTTTGTGCCTTTACTCACCATACAAGCTTAGATGTACAGTTATGGTGAACAAAACATGTAAATACTTATATGTATATATAACGTCTGTGTATAGTGAATAAATGCAAAAACAGTATTGTGGGAGGAGAATGAGGGTGAGTGAAGTGGTGTTGAGGGAGGGAGTGGCAGTGAGTGGCTCGCTGGTGTTTGGCGGTCACTCCTCGTTGCTTTTTGACTAGAGACCAACTTAGTACTGTAGTTCGTTATGGTGAACAAAACATGCAGATACTTATATATAACCTGTGTATATAGTGTAACACAGCAAAACTATTTGTTTATTGTTTTATGAAAATAATAATTGAATAACTAATATGCACACCATAATTTTGAGTACAGCGATGGTTCACACATTTTATTATATAAATATACCACAATTCACTGTATGGAATAATATTACAGCAAAAAAACTAAGAAAAATCAATCAGACACATTGAAATAATTAGGTAATAATATATTTAATATTAATATATTTGTGGCAACTGCCATCTGACAGCTCGGGCGGAGTAGACCTTGTCTGGCGAAGGCTCTGCCTACGCCCCTTTTTTGCCACACTTCCCTACCCTATTGCGGCTAAAATATGGCACCTACGATTTTTTTGTTATTTTTTCCGTGATCAGGGAACAAAAATGAACACTTCTATAAGACGAAAGAATTTTTTGGAATTTTTTTTTGTTGCGCCTGTGGGTGTGAATTCCATTTGGGTCCCTAGCGGTTTGAGGGCTAATTGCTTAGTTTGTCTAGGTCAAACTGAAGGCTATTGCAGTCTTTTAAATCCTTGATTATTTGTTTTGAATTAAGCATCACTTGCAAACAGATTCATATAACTCCTATAACTTCCTGTGGTCAGTGGTCGACCTATAATTTGTAGGACCCTGAAGCTTGACCTATTATAGGACAATTTCACAACCAGCAATAAGGTCTGGGTAACCACTATTTTCTTCAATTCAGTTGTTCCATGACAGACCAACACAATTTTTTAAAATTTTAACCTCTACATCTCAGGTTTTTGTATACTGACTGAATTTTTTTGTTTATTTCACTATACATTCATGTATCCTATGACACTACTCATTTACTCATCAGACCTATACTATGTTTAAGGCCTCCAATAAGTGCGTGTTCGAAAGTAAGTGTTGTAACCACATGAAAAGATCAACCAATGAATACAATTATGATGCATAAACATTATTACAAACCATTCTCTGACTCAGGCTTGAAGGAAATTTCCAGGGTAAAGGTCAGGTAAGCTCTTGAGAGTGTTGCCAGTGACATATACGATGATTCTTCAAACCTACAAAAAAAAGATTAATATTCATTAGAAGCCTATTACCTGTTTCTTCAGATGTTTTTTGTGTATATACAGTAACATAACACACTTTTAATTTTTTTGTTTGAAACTACTGCAGATAACATAACTAAATTTAATCAGTTGATATATATATATATATATATATATATATATATATATATATATATATATATATTAGAGCACAGATACCAATAATATAGTCTTTATTTAGGAAATTACACAGTAGGCCTATTATATACAGTATGGAAAAGGTATTCAATGCAAATAACATTTTATTAACACTTTTGCGTTCCCTGCATGCGCACCCTATTCTACCCCAAGGTGGGCCTAGCATTTCCCGTGAGCGCCTGGTTTGTGCCTCGGAGAGGCTACGGGATCTAGTAAGTTCAGTAGAACTTCAGTTTCAACCCTTTTAACCCTGTCGTAGCTCAGTCGATTAAGGCAGTGTCTGGGTTTCTCCCGGACGCAGGTTCGAATCCTCGTCACGGCCCTTGTGGATTTGTTTAATATATATCAACCACTGCACTGCGCAAAGCACCTTAAGGCATCCTAAGTGTTGTGTGATTTTTTTTTTAATTAGGCCATATTTTAAGTTTTTTTTTTTTAATGTTTTCATCGCTCTTTGTGATTTGAAATGAAAATGATTGAGTTTGGACATTAACATTAGCTGAACATTTATAAAAACAACAAAAATATGCCCTTAACCACTTAACTGCACCAACCGAGTTTTCTCGGTCGGCGGGAAACTGCGCCAACCGAGAAAACTTGTTTTGATTTTTCGTAACCAATTCTAAATGTGTACGTGGTTGGTTGTGTACAAAATGGACTCTTAGGACCTCCAGTGAGAGGCAGCCATCTTGGAAAAAAATCCCAGAATGCCCTAGGGCTGCTGGCTGGGTTAGTACTGAATGAGCAACCATGGGTGGCGCACGCGCCTTTGGCTCCCAAACACCTGTCCGACGTGGTGTTGAAAGATAATACTCTGTCGGTGAAATTCAAACCTTATTGTTTGAAGAACATAAGGGTCATAATATTGGGGAAGCCAGGCGCAATAAGGACCTAACACAAAGGTCGGATGCAAGTGATACAGCACCTATGAGGACGATATAGCGAGCGTATCCAGTTGTAGCTCTGAGTGTCACCCTTGCAATCCTATGCTATTTATTTACATGATACTTAGATGAATCATTTTCTGCGTTCAGTGATGATGCATCTGATACAAAAAGCATAGATGAACAGTGTTAGCGGCTTCCATGGTGGTGTTTTCCATAGATATTTTCAAGAATACCTGAATCTCTTACCAACTGATGGACACTCTTGAGGTAAGCTGAATCTCTTCCTGTGTGGGACCATACAAAGCGATCTTTTCAAGACTACCTTACAAATTGATCTTTTCCTATAATCTCTTCAATACTACCTTACACTTTACAAGCTTGGCTACATACCACCTACAAGTACTAAAGCCAAGGGTGTACAAGAGTGTGTTATTTGCAAGTACACAGAACGAAGAAACTGGAAGCGAAAATTTGTGTGTACCTGGTGCACTGAGAGCGAAGTCGCGCTGTGTACCATGGGCTACTTCATTGATTATTACTCACTTCCGAAGTACTGAGTGTGTAATACAGTGTGTTACTGTGTAAATAGTGTGTGAAACTGTACATATTGTAATTTTAGTGAATTTTTAACAGGTAATATTGCGACAATAAACATTTATTGTGGACACATTACTGACACATGTATCACAGTTCCATGGAACATTATGAACGTTCTACTGTATACATATTGTAAAGACACAAATATGCATCATATACGATAAAAAAACAAATAAAACCGCATTGGAAATACATAAAACAAATAATTGAAAATATATTTGTGGCAACACCCGGTGCTTGAATGGCCCGCGCGACTGTGTCTGGGCGAGTCACGCACGGGCGACCAGGCCCTCATGACGTCACAGCGCATCTTGTCCACGTCCCTACAGCCAAAGTAAGTGGAATTTGGTACTTATTTTTACATAGACATGTTCAGGGAAGGGAATTTATCATTTTACGAAGAAAAAATAATTTTTGGGGAACACTTCATTTCATGCGCACCGGGGAAATTTCTCAATAAACTCCACGCAGCACGGTGGTTAACAACTGCACCATGAAATTGTTGCCAAAAACAGGTGCGCAGAACAGAGGTTAATGAAAATACAAAATAATAAAATAATAATATTAAATAATAAAAGTTAAAAATAATAAATTAAGAAAATTTAAAATAATAAAATAATACAATTTAAAATAATAAATAATACAATAATAAATATTCATTAATAAGCAGCATCCAACCTATATATAAATGAACAGAGCTCCTGATGTACAAAAATTGACTTAAGTCATTACCTAGGAACAATTCCTGTGACAAGGAGAAGTATTGGAAGATCTAAACTTCTCTCTTCATTGCTACCTGTGCAGATGTATAAACCAGCATCTTCCGTGTGTACTTCTGGGATGTCTAAAACAGCCTGACAAAAATAAACATCAAATTAATGCATAATATAGAATGCATTAGAATGAAAAATATCTATATGTAAATACTTATTTGTGACTCTTTATCTGTGGCTGAAGAGGAAGACTTGTGATTGACGTGTTCTGTTGTCTTTCTTTAATTTAAGAGAAATATTGTTTCATGATAATATGGAATAACATCATAACTTGGTGGCATTCCATATCACTGTCATCTGTAACACACAACACATAATCTAGCCACATATGCTAGATTGGCCAACATCAGAACGGTCTTTAGAAACTTGTGTAAGGAATCGTTCAGAACCTTGCATACCACTTATATCAGACCAGTCCTGGAGTATGCAGCTCCAGCCTGGAGTCCATACCTAGTTAAACACAAGACAAAGTTAGAGAAGATTCAGAGACATGCCACCAAACTAGTCCCAGAATTGAGAGGTATGAGTTATGAGGAAAGGCTTCAAGAGCTACGCCCACATCCCTAGAAGACACACGAGTAAAGGGAAACATGATCACCACCTACAAAATTCTCAGAGGAATTGACAGGGTAGACAAAGACGAACTATTTAGCATAGGTGGAACAAGGGGACACAGGTGGAAACTGAGTACCCAAATGAGCCAAAGGGACATTAGAAAGAACTTTTTCAGTGTCAGAGTAGTTAACAAATAGAATGCATTAGGCAGTGATGTGGTGGAAGCTGACTCCATACACAGTTTGAAATGTAGATATGATAGAGCCCACTATGCTCAGGAACCTGTGCACCAGTTGATTAACAGTTGAGAGCTGGGACCAAAGAGTCAAATCTCAACCCCTACAAGCACAACTTGGTGAGTACATACACACATTAGCATGTATATATAGCTAATCTCGATTTTATGTTTGCCAGTGTGGGTCTTTGTTAAGAATCTTGGAGGAAAATTAGAACGTTTCATGATATAGAATTTTATTACATAATAAATTTAAATCGTGAATATACAGTATAAAAATCAATTAAATGAGACGAATGCTTTAATATACTGCAATAATATTACCCAACGGACTGGAAACAAAGGGTCATAGTCAGAGAGGTTAAGTCACACTGTAGAGGAGTAGAAATTTGTATTCCTCAGGGCTCAGTTCTAGTAAGGGTGATTAACACTGTATATAAAACACTTGTTATTTCTAGTGTACAATTGTAGAAGGGCAGAGACTCAACAACACTCACTCAGAACGATCTCACACCCAGGTCTGCATGTTATCACACAGCTTGTATTTCATGCCAATCATTAAGTACCATACAAATCCTGAAGAGCAGAGCATCTACATGTATTAACAATCTGCCATTACTTAAGTTCACACCCTCTCATTAACCTACACACTTAACATATATAACTACAACTTCATATCATCATCTCCACGTACTTTACTTCTCGCAAGCTGTATGTGATTAAATTAGCTCTGTCAAACTAATATACATATACATTTCACTTCTTGAGGACTTGGTAATAATATTTACTCCTGTGGTAATGAGCTACCTAGGTGTATGCTCCCAGACTACCAGCTGATGATGATGATGGTCACCTTAACAACTCAATACAAGCAATCTTTAAATACAAGTCAAGAAAAAACCTAACAAATAACAGGGACTTGCAACAATGCAAACCCATGTAGGTTCAAACTATGACAGTGTGAATCTAATGAATAAGTCTCAACATTTTATACAATATAGAGGTTCAAAGAGGGTAGGTAAGGACTGCATGAGTTTGATATTATCTTGTATGTGAGTGAGCAACAAAATTTTGCTGAATTGTTAAATATAATAAAAAGTAGTTACTCACATCATGAACAAGTGAATTTGATGGTAATTTTCCTCCTTGTTTATTCCATGTGTATGATACTGGAGGTGGAAGTGACACACGACACTCCATCACTGCCCGTAAACCATGGGCTACAGATCTTGTTTCCACTGAGCGTGTATTTTGGCCAAACCCAATATTTTCAGTTGATATTAATTCTGTAATACAAAATCCATGATGAGACAAATATCATGAGCGTGCTAAAAATTAAATCAAGATGATAGTTAAGTATAGCAATTTGGAACAATTTAATAATGAATAATTTACTAATAACAAATACCAGTACCAGTATCTCACCAGTATTATCCAGTCATCACATGAAGCATGATATAAGATTGAAAAGATTGTTAATAATCTTTGTCAGGGACACTTTCACCTTTAAAATAAACCTTAAGAAAATAATGTTAATAACTAAATGTGTTTTGATTGCAGCAGAATGAGAAAGATAACTTCATCAGCCGAATCACACATTTGAAGCAATATCATCATATGTATACAGTATTCTTGAAAAGAAAGATGCCCCCCCCCCCTAGTTTGTATATATACTGTATATTAAACCATGTACATACAGAGGGATGGAAAGCATAAATGTGGGTTGTGTGACGGGAGCGAGGGGTGTGGGTGGGAATGTTCATGTATCAATGCTTAATTATTTTGTCAATAACAGCCTCTTAGTTATTTGACCACCAGGTGAATTTTAGTTGACCACCTGGTGAATTTTAAATTATTTAGTGTCAGAGTTGGTAAAAAAAAAAAGAGAAAAATCATGTGGCTCCTTGGAGCTATCGGACTGATATACGCAATATTAGTCTGGAGCTTCAGTCATTTGAGTTTTACCTACCGGGGACCATGAGCTAGAACCTGGCCCCCCCCTCAGAGAGGCATAGGTACCAATGGTCCAAGGAAAATTCCCTTGTATTTGGGGGTTATCCCAAATCTGCCATCGACCAGGATTAAGCACCCAGAATGGAAGGCATCTCAAAACAAACCCCATATGATAGGAAAATTAAAAAAAAAAAAAAAAAAAAACTCCCCCCATCCCCCTCCCGGGGAGGGAGTGTTATGCAGACGGATGCATGGCGATTGTGGTGATGTAATGTTATTTCTTTATTTTTAATTGGGGAGTTCTGTTTGCTAGTTTGGCTTTCGGTTTGCAATTTTTGACCAGCAGTAGTTTTGAGATTCCTACCTTTCTGGGTGTCTAACCTGATAGATGGCAGACAAAGACTGCTTCCAATTACACGGGGGTGTCTTTAGGCCATAGCTCCTTGTGCCTCTCTTGAGGGGACCAGGTTTTGGCTTTGGTCCCCGGTAGGCTTAGAACTCCATCAATTGACTGTTGCCACGGTCTAATATACACACATCAGCCTGGTATGGCTCCGGGGAGCTGAAGGGGCTCTCCACAGAAAACTTCTATTAAATTTAAATAACTAAGTTGGCCCATATTAAGGCAGAAAACTTTTTTTTTAAACCAGCCTGGGTTTTGTAAGCTAAAAAACCCAGCCTGGGCAGATAAGTGGGCACCTACCACACCAACCATGCTTAAATGTTCAAGATCTTGTCTCATATTTGAATTTGAAGCTGTGAACAGAAATGGCTTGCACAACTTTTTTTTCAGCGCATTCCAAAAGTTTCCATTGAGGAAACTTGTGGAATGCAGTTTCTTTGGTCTTCTATTGATTTTACCCAGAAATTTAATTGTTGGAGACAATTAACTCAAGGAGTTAGAGCTCAATGATTGATATTTCCCAAAAGATACTTGATGAAAATTGTAATTTGCAAAGTTTGTAGAAAAACTGATACTTTTTTGAAAAACAAAATAAACAGACTTAAAAAGATGCATAGTAAGATGTGTTGCAAATTGTGTATGTATGAAACACTTTGGAATCTATATAAAGCAAATGCCAACATAAAATGATATAAAAAACCAGCAATGAAGGTAATGAAACGCCATTTTCTGCGTAAGACCCGGAGGCTCCCCAGAGCTTACTAGGCTGATATGCTAATGTCAGACTTTAGTATCTGTCATGTGTATGGAGTTCTATAGGCCTATTGGGGACCATGAGCCAGAACCTGGCCCCCCTCAGAGAGGAATGGGGAGCAATGGCCTACAGAAACCCCCATGTGGTTGGAAGCATTCTATGTCTGCCATCGACCAGGTCAGGCACCCAGAAAGGTAAGTGTCCCAAAACAAACCCCAATTATGGTGAAAATTGCTACCAAAAGCCGAACAACTGGATAGAACTCCCCAAAAAGAAACGAGCATGATGTCACATGTCGCTGCATCGCTGTCTGCACAGCTTCCCCCTCCCGAAGGAGGGGGAAGGGGGAGCCCCAGACCCCTCATGCTGGCTATCCACCCATCAGTTCTGAAGCCGAATGTCAAAACGCGCGAAAAAAAAACACCGACTGGGGCAAGGGAGGGATGCGGGGAAGCCTCCGGGTCTCACCCAGAAAATGGCGTTTCATTACATTCAACGGTGGTTTTCTGGGGAAGCCCCTTTGGCTCCCCGGAGCTAACTACCCACAGAGGAAAAGTAAAGGAACATACCCGGGAGGCAGTCGCTGCTCACTCCTCAACTCGAAGCTGAGACAACCGGCTGCAACTGCCGACCCAAAATGACACAAGCCCGCCTAGGCCCAGGAATGTTCACGAGATAACGAGCAGTCAGACCCTGTTCGGCCGTCAAAATCTCCGCGCCCCAATGTCAGCCCAGGACATGTTGCCAAAAACGGCAGCAAGAGCAGCGAACTTGGAAACTTCATGGTCATGGGATAGACCGCAAGCTGGGTAGCCTTAACAACCGTGTGGACGACCTGGGAAACTCACATCCGCGAACAGGGAAGAAGGGAAACTGGATCAACCTAAAGTGCGTCCCCGAACACAGAGGCTGTGGCACACAAATAATGGTGGAGGGCTGCAACCGGACACAAAACATGATGCAAACCCCCCCCCCCCCCCCCCCGGCCCGAACAGCCAAGCATCAACAACTGAAGGACTCTTTCCGGAAACCAGCAGTCTCATTCCTTGCCAGAAAAGAAGAAGGAGATGGCTGCAGATGAACAAACCTATCGGCACGACCCAAGGAGCAGAACACCCCTGTGCCGAACGAGAACATGAAGCTCACCGACCCGACCCCTAGAGGCCAATGCCAACAGAAAAAGAGCCTCCGAGAAACAAACCTGAGCCGAAGGGGCCACAACAAACCATGGAGAAGAAAGAAAAGAGAGCACCCTGTCCAATGACCAGGACGGCTTGGGCAGCGCATGAGCAGACTGGAGGTGAAACGACACATAAGACAGCTTGTGAAACGGCACAGATGTAACACCAATTCTGAAAGCAAGCTGAAGCGGCTCTGAAAGCGCCACACGATACGAGGCGACAGTATGGGGCAATATGACGGCCTCGAACCTCCACAAGAGAAGGACAAGACCACGCCAACAAATGCAGCTACCTAAGAAGGGACAGAAGGAAAAGGAAGGACTGCCAAAAAAACCCACACTGCCGCCAAGAAGAAGCACGTAGGTGGGACACCATCAATGAAGCCACCCAACCACCAAAAGAAGGTGAAAAACCCGAGGCAGAACCAAACCAGTTCTGTCAGATCCGCCATGGGCCAATCGAGCCTAGGAAGACGCAGAGCCGTGGAAGATCTCTGAACAACAACTAGGTAAGTACTGTACAGAGAATCCAATGTATATGGAAGGGCTAAGACAGGCACTGCAAGACGGGCAAGGAATACTTAGTACACAGGGGTCAAGAACCAAGGCAGACCCCCCACCAGGCAGATAAAACAAAAAGAAATAGAAAACCCCACAAGAGGACAGTGTATCCAGGCGGAACAGAGCTGGCCGCCATGATTGGTGAAAACAAGCTGCGCAGTACCCTGTGGCTTAGCCAGCACAAAACTGCCCCCTCACCCTAAGGCGAACAAGGAAGACAGAACACCCCAGCACACAAAGGGTGACTGAAACCCAAGGAGCTTTGGGAAGGTAACCCCAAGCCCCAAGGGCAGTACTTACAGGGCACCTAGGGAAGGAAACCCTAGGCGCATGCAGCCCGAGTACTGGGGAATCACTCTCGGCTCACACACCACCTAGAAGACAGTCACCACACTCTAGGTACAGTGCTGAAACAACCACTGGAGCCGGAGCACATGACCATTGCCTATAACATCAGCCTCAGAACTGAAGGGTGGATAGCAGGGCGGGGGTCTGCGGCTCCCCCTTCCCCCTCTCGGGGAGGGGGGAGCTGCGCAGTGGTGCAGCAACGTGTGACGTCATGCTCATTTGCTCGTTTCATTTAGGGGAGTTCTATCCACTTGTTCGGCTTTTGGTAGCAATTTTCACCAGAATAGGGGTTCGTTTTGGGACGCTTACCTTTCTGGGTGCCTGACCTGGTCGATGGTAGACATAGAATGCTTCAAACCACACGGGGGTTTCTATAGGCCATTGCTTCCCATGCTTCTCTGTGGGGGCCAGGTTCTGGCTCGTGGTCCCCGGTAGGCCCAAAGAACTCCATACACATGATTGATGACAAAGTCTGACAATAGCATATCAGCCTGGATAAGCTCCAGGGAGCTGGAAAGGCTCCCCCCAGAAATTACTATTATTACTAAAAGACTACATGGAGCATACCTTGAACTACTAGTGCAAAGCTGTCTTCAAAAACACCACTGGCTGTTGTAACTGTACACATATATATTCCACCATTATCAGACTGCACATTGACAAGTCTGAGGAGGTTGCCTCGACGTTGAGCATTGTATGGAAGATCAGAGCTTACTCTTGACCAAGACACAGCAGCAGCTGGGTCCCCACCCACCTCGCACGTAAGCTCTATATCATCACCAATGCGTACGTTGGAACGGCTGGGACGGATTCTGATATCTACAGCCTGAAGTCCTGCCATAAGCATAAATTATATTAGCTATTAAATCTGTCAAAAATATATATATACAGTACAGTATATACAATGTTAAAAATTAACAATCTTATATCCATAATGTTAAATTGGTGAATCAGAAAGCATAGGTGTTAAAATGTATTTCTATGAAAATAACATTAATAAATGTTTGTTATAATATCAGTTAAGAGCTCATACAAAAAATGCCTTTTTTGAGCAAGTCACTAGGTTTTCCCCATAGTACATTTCCACTGTTTCTGTACGAACTGTAACTTGCTGTTAGGCAGGGCAACATTCTAGTACTGGTCACACCAAAATGGCATGAAATAGATAAAATCTAAATCTTTACAAACTCTCTCTGGCATCAAAGAGACCACCAAGGAGTGCTCTATTTAATATATAACTAATTTACCTGGTCACCTGCCAGCCTACAAGAGAATGCAGTGAAATGCCATTTTCTAGATGAGCCTTGGTAGCTCCCTAAAACTATACTGCTGAGTTGGCTCCCAACTACTATGTCGGATCTAAAATTAAGTTCTGTTTGTCCGACTGAGGATCAGATCTAGAACATAGGCCCCGCTCCTTACAGAAGCACAGAGAGAGGGTTACACTCCTTCACCCATCCAAGAAACCATCTGAAAAGTCAGTGAACCAATTCAGACCAATACTTGGTTCAAAGAGACCAAAGCCTTGAAACTGCCAAATGAACTCCCCCAAGTAATGCAAACAAATTCTCAAAATTCTCAAAACGAGAGCAAGATTGTTTCAGGTCTCACCCAATCTTTCAAGTCAATTCTGCAGCAGATGTGAAGAGGACCACATAGAGAAGATTGTGGGAGGAGCCTATGCTACTCTGTCCAAATTCAGAATTGCCTTTAAATACATGGATGGTGAAATACTTAAGCAATTGTTCACAACTTAGAGAGACCAAAGTTGGAATATGCAGCAGTTGTATGGTGCCCATATCTTAAGCACATCAACAAACTGGAAAAGGTGCAAAGACATGCAGCTAAATGACTTCTAGAATTGAAAAGAGCTATGCAGAGAAGTTAGAGCCATTAAATATGCCAAAGCCAAAAGATAGAAGAAATAGAGGGGATATGGTCACTACATACAAAATAGTGACGAATTGACAAACTTGATGAATTCTCGAGACCTGGAACGTCGAGAACAAGAGGTCATAGCAAGGTCATTACAAAATTCACTTTCACAACAAGAGTGCCAGACGATTGAAAAAAATGTCTGGGAGACACGATGCCATGTCTCCCAGTCTGGGTTCTCTTCTTTGTCCTATTATCTGTTGCCTTTCCTTCCTGATAAGTCCCATTTTTGTGTCTCTGTAGTGGGCTAACTTCAGGAAGCCACCAGGAGGCTCTTTCCAGAAATCGAGCAATGAATATAATGAAATGTCTCTTTCTGGAGGAGCCCCAGTGGTGGTAATAGGTACTAAAGTGTCTTGAACTAGTTTGACTGGATCCCTTGTTCTGTTTTAATAGCTTGTGAAGGTGTTTGGAAGCTTTGTTTTCTCTTAACCTTCTAGTTATCTGTAAGGCTTCACTGACTTTTAGGAGGCTTTTTCTGTTCGTGTGGTGGATTGTTACCCATTCCCTGCACCTCTGTGAGGGAGGATCAGGTTCTGACTCTGGTCCCCTGTAGGCCAAACAGAACTTCCGTGACTAATGTGACCTTATAGTATGGAGCAATCTCTGCAATATAGCTTCAAGAAACTGCCAGTGCTCCTCCAGAAAGAGTCATTTCATCACATTGAACACTGACTTTAATAAATTTGTAAAGGCTATTCACTGCATATTTTCAGAAACATTGAATTTTAAGCTATGTACTAGCTAATTAATTCCTGGAACCAATACACACAAAAGAAACAATTTATTTGTACATTATTTGCAATGCAACTCAGGTAAAACATAAATTGAAGTTGTAACACAAACTACAGGAAGCAAGCAGGAAAGTGAGATCTTTGCATGCATAAGAAGTCTCAATATACTAATGGTAACTATGCTCATCTAGTGACGATTGTGAGGTGAACTACGTTCATGCAGGTCATTGTGCATTTGCTGGGACTCACTCTTTACAGTGAGGGTGATGACATCAGAGATATGGTGTCCAGCAGGTGTGATGGCCTCACACTGATATCTGCCGCCATCTTCAGGTCTGATGAATGGCAGTCTGAAATTGAATAATAATTTATTATAATGAAAAATAAATACTTACTAAATGGATATTTCATATTACATGGATTTGTGTTAAAATTATTGGATTAAAATTTGCATCAGATCTAATTATAAATGTACAAAATGGTATGAAGTGATTACTGCGAAGTTTTCTACTTAGTCACTCCCTAAGGTAAGAACCTACCTATGTTTCGAAGGAATCATGCAATTAAGGCATGTAAACATTCTGCACTGCCATGGTGAACTTTTAAAACTGTCCCTGTCAGGTAATACTGGCACTAACAAAACCCAGAGCACAGTCAATCCAGCCTAAAATGCAGACAGACAAGTGATGTCTATAAACCTAAAAACTCTTTTTCAGGCACAACTTGCCAATTACTGCACCCAGGTTAACTACCTAAGTAATGCTAGGTAATTTCTACAGATAACCACCAGATCACAGCACCAACACCACAACAATATACTCCAGCCCAACCATCTCTCACTTAAATCGGATTCATCTCAAGAGAACAATACCTTTAGTTAAGTGGCCTGTATTATGCTTTGGAACTTTGTGTAGTGGGCTTATTCTATGTTAGTGAGCACTTCTTGAATGCATTTTGACAAGCTAGTTAACCCTTAGACCGTGCATATTACCACAAATATAGGGGGCATAGTAGCAAAAAATATTCAAATTATGTAAAAATAACTTTAAAAAGCTAAACAAATCTCCAACTTATTGGCTTCAGTGTCATGAAACTTTCATCAAAATATTTTCAGAAATTGATTTTAGAATTATTTCTGTAGAGAGCCCCTTCAGCTCCCCAGAGCTATACCGGGCTGATGTGTATATATTAGACCGTGGCAACAGTCAATCTAAGGAGTTCTAGGCCTACCGGGGACCAGAGCCAGAACCTGGCCCCCTCAAGAGAGGCACGAGGAGCAATGGCCTAAAGACACCCCCGTGTAATTGGAAGCAGTTTTTGTCTGCCATCTACCAGGTCAGGCACCCAGAAAGGTAGGAATTCCAAAACAAACTACTGCTGATTAAATAAATTTGCAAACCGAAAGCAGAACTAGCAACAGAACTCCTCAATCAAAACCAAGGAAACAAGTATGACGTCACCACAAACGCCGCACATCCGTCTGTGCAACCCCCCTCGTCCCCGGGAGGGGGATGGGGGGGGGGTGTCCCAGACCTCCACGCCGGCAACACTCCTCAATTCAAGAGGCTGTTTTGTTGGTGACGGTCGATCGCTCTGGCTCCACTCTTTGCGCAGTGCTGCAGTGCGGTGTTGTTGCTCTGTCTTAATGGTGGTGTGAGCCAGACGTAACACAAGAGTACTGGGGCTGCATGCACCTAGGGCTGCCTTCCCCAGGTGCGCTGTAAGTACTGCCTTTGCAGCTTCAGGGTTATCTTCCATGAGCCACTCAGGAGCAGCTACCTCCGTGTGGCTCTGTTGCTGCTCGGTGATTGCCCGCCCTTGGGGGTTCAGCTGGGGTGGTTCTTACTCCTGTTTTCCCTTGGGTTAGAAGGTACTTTCGTCACTGGCTGGGGCGCGATACTGCGCAGCAGTCTGATATACGCATAGCGACCGGTTCTGTTCTCCTGCAGACGTGCTCTTGCAGGGTTTTTCTTTTTTTTTTTTTTTTTTTTTTTTTTTGTTTTGCCTGGCGGGGGTCTGCCAGGTTTGGTGGTAGGACCACTGATAGGTTTTTGGTGACCTTCCACTAGGTTCCCGTGCTTACACACGTCGCAGGGGTTCAGCTTTAGATTGTTTTCTCGATAGCTCTGGAATAACCGGTTAAAAGTACCTCGCCTGGGCTTCCCTTAGCAGTAAGCCTAAGGGCCCTGGAAACCCCCACTGGGGCTCAGTGGTCCAATGTAGGAGACCTCTGAGTCCCACCTCGCCTTGTGCGAGTTTGAAGGTTGCTTTGTTCCTCTGTTTTGGGCTGACACTTATCGTCTGCCTCCGCCTTGCTGCTTGTTGGGGTCAGTGACACCTATGACCCAAAGTCCTGCAAGTGATGTTCTTTGCTTGTACTCCATTCACCAAGTCCACTGAGACTGATATTTGGGTGCAGGCAGCTTTAGCGTTGCATGCAAGGTTTAATTTGCCACGACGTACGAGGTTGGTTGCCTTTCCGGATGCCCCTCAGCTGCCCCACTGAATTATACTGGTAGTGAGACTCGGGCGGCTTCGGGGATTACCCCTTCTGGATTGGCGGTGGAGGCATTCAAGCCCAGTCCTCCTGCCGGAGCTTTTGGGCCACGCCAGTGAGCCCCCCCTTCATCCCTGCTTTTCCGGTGGACCCTGCTCTTTCTCCAAAGGCAGAGAGTTTGGAGGACAACACAGCCATGGGTCCTAATGTGGAGGATTCCAGGGCTGGGGAGGAGTTGACTTGGGGGGGGGGGGGGGGGGGTGAGGCCTGAGCCTCCTTGTCCCTGCTTGGGTGTTTGGTACCCTCGGCACAGGGCTTGTTGTTACAGGGGGAGGGTTTTTCCTTTCCCTCTCTCTGTACGATTTTGTTATGAGTTCGACTCCTCCCCGGGTTCGGGTCCGAGTTCCCTTGGATTTTTCGGTTCCCTCCTGGAGGTTTTTGGCTTCCCACATCCCAGCGAGGAAGGTGTGGGAGGCTCCTTGCGGCTTACCTCCTTCGAGACCTGAATTGCTCCTCGATAATGAAGCTTTCTCTTTGAGTTTGGCTCCTCTTTTTCTTTATTGGCTGCGTTACAAGGTGCCGGAGTCTTCCTGGCTGGCAGACTACCTTTTCTTCTTTGGGGGGCTTGGCATTCGTCCTGTCGGAATGCACACTTGAATGGCGAGAGTTGCCTACAGTCATTCAGGTTTTCCTTGGGTGTGAGCTGGAGCACCTCAAGGTGTGCTAGTTCGCTCCCATCTTTCCTTATGATGTCGGCCACATGCGGCTTCATGTGCAGGTTCCCTCCCTTTCGGCATCCCTAGTGGCCGAGGATTTGTGCGCCCATGGGCACTTGGCTTTGGTCTTGCGCTTCTTTTCCCTGCTGGAGCTGTCTTCGAACTGTCTCGTACTGGGTGTGGAGGAGCTGGGTTCCAGGCCAGGGTCCGGTGTGCTTGCTTTGGCAGCTCGGGTGCCGGCTGCTTTGGTGAAGTTGTATGCTCTGTTTCCGAGGGAGGCGATGTCTGATCTTTGCTTCTTGCCTCGTGTGCTGGCAGGCGGTGCTCGTCCAAATTCAGCCAGTCTTGGGCCCTGGCTCTTAGATTTTCATCACCTTTTTATCCGTTGCTGTTTGCAGAGTCTGCGATGGTGCTTTTTCTGCAGGCAGCTTCGTCTAGTTGACGGCCATTGTCGGACTTGTAAGTTCTCAGGTAAGGCCATGGAAGTCCTGCCCGGAAGGGTCGTGGGTCATGGCAGTAGGTATGCCAAAACACAGCAGAGAGAATTGCCAGGAATTGAAGGTAACTAGCAAAACAGGCACTGGGGACACTCATCAAAAGAACAAGTATATTGTGCAGCTGCAAAACAGGGATGCACATGGTGGTGACAGTGTACCATATGGACAAGCACACGAACCCCAATGCACTCATAAACCATGTCGTGGCACAGTAAACTTAGGCACAGCTGGGAACATCTCGTGCATAGGTTCGAACCCTCATTACTGCCCTTGTGGATATGTTCAAGTAATATATGTACACCCGCACGGTGGTGCTTGCGTCTAGGGAGTCCATGGATGCGGGTTTGAGTCCATCATATGATCAAGGAGCCGCAGTTGTCCAGGTGTGGGAGTGTCCTCCGCGGCCTCAAAGCCTGCATGTCAAACTCCTAGACGCTGGTCTCATTTCTGAGACCTGGAACTTCAAGAACAAAGAGGTCATAGATTAAACTAACTAAACAAAGATACCAAAGAAATATAAGAAAGTTCATTTTCGCAAACATAGTGGTAGACGGTTGGAACAAGTGAGAAGCTGGTGAAGGCCAAAACATCAGTAGTTTCAAAGCATTATATGACAGAGTGCTGGGTAAGATAGGAGAAATCTCAGCCTGATAGCTTAAGAGAACTACCAGGAGATACCGAACAAATGTATCCACTAAATATACTTTTCACCCACAAAATATACTTATAAATCAGGTGTCTTGTACACTGGTAAATATGGTTTATGAGCACTGTAATTAATACTAAAAATATTTTCTGATGGTTGTAGAATACCTGAGGATATTGCCCACCCGTACAGCTCCATGGGGAATTTGACCTCTAATACGAGTCCATCTTATGCTATTGGGGTCGATTCCTGAGAAGTCACAGCGTAGTTCTGCTGCTTGAGTAACATACGCTTCAGCATACTGTGCAGATGCTGTCAATCGTGGTTCAACTGAAATACAAAACGCAAATGTCAGAATTTATTATTCAATATGTCAGAAAATTGTAATTAATATTAATTAACTATAAAGGTAAGCATTCAGATATTTTCCTTATTTTAGGCATTCCATAAGTTCACTTTGATCTAATGATCTGCATTGTAAATATCCAGCACTGAATGTAATGCAATACCTTTTTCTGTGGCCACATGGTAACTCCCTAAAATTACAACATGTCAGCATTCAAGCCTTGGGAACACACCAGGACTCTTAAAACCCGCAAGAGTCTACCAGAGACCACGACGAGAATCTGGCCCCCCCCACTCAAAGAGGCTTAGGTCTACCAATACATCCAGATCCCCATGCAACTAACTAGTAAAGGTCTCCTGCACAGTACAGACACTGAAAACGTCCACCAACTTGAGGTGCACCTTGAGGTCCACTGCAGCAACTGAGGCAGACAACTTGGGCACTATGACATGGAACTGCCATGTCCCAACCTCAAATAAGAAGGCCAGCACATACAAGACAACCTTTATCATCTTGAAGAAAAGGCCTAGATAAACATGAAACACTGAGCTGACCTTGAGGAATGTGAAAAAACCAGTGTTGAATGTAATGAAACACCATTTTCTAGGCGAGTCCCGGAGGCACCCTGGAGCTTACTAGGCTGATATGCTTATGTCAGACTTTGGCATCAGTCATGTGTATGGAATTCTTATGGGCCTACCGGGGACCACGAGCCAGAACCTGGCCCCCTCTAGAGAGGCAAGGGAAGCAATAGCCTATAGAAACCCCCATGTAATTGGAAGCATTCTATGTCTGCCATCAACTGGGTTAGGCACCCAGAAAGGTTGGCGTCCCCCCAAAAAAACCCTATTCTGGTGAAAATTGCAACCAAAAGCCAAACGAGTGGATAGAACTCCCCAAACAAAAAACGAGTAAACTAGTATGACATCACCCGTCGTCGCGTCGCTGACTGCGCAGCCACCCCCCCTTCCCGGAAGGGGGGGTGGCTGCCCCAGACCTACTGTGCCAGCGATCAACACCCTACTTCTGAGGCTGGATGTCAAAACACGGGAAAAAAACGCCGACTGGAGGGAGAGGGGGATGCCGGGGAGCCTTCAAGACTCGCCAAGAAAATGGCGTTTCATTACATTCAACGCTGGTTTTCTAGGGGAAGCCGCCCCTTACGAGACCCAGAACCTCGCACAGAGCAAACAAAGCACCGACCAGACGAAGGCGGGTCCGAAGGAGGAGCTAAACCTGAACCTGACACCAGTGGCCTACCCCAATGAGAGGAACCCTGAGCCTTGGCACGACCCTTCCAGGAAGGCCCACCACACGGGACCCCCGGAGAACCAGCAAGTCCGACATAGGACGGCAAGAAGCCAAAGCAGCCTGAATATACTGCGCAACGGCTGAAGCTTCAAACAAATCCTAAGAGCCAAGGCCCAAGAGGATTCCACAGAGGAAGCAAGCACCGTCTGCTGACACGCAAGCCAGGAGGCATAAAACAGAGCCACCGCATCCCATAAGGTTGGTGCGAAAAGCTTCAGCAAGGCAGTTGATAAGCGAGCCGCCGAGGAGTGGGAGCCGGTCGGCCGAGCAGACAGCACACTGGACTTGTGATCCTGTGGTCCCGGGTTCGATCCTGGGCATCGGTGAGAAACAATGGGCAGAGTTTCTTTCATCCTATGCCCCTGTTACCTAGCAGTAAAATAGGTACCTGGGTGTTAGTCAGTTGTCACGGGCTGTGGAGGCCTGGTCGAGGACCAGGCCGCGGGGACACTAAAACCCCGAAATCATCAAGATAAACTCAAGAATTTCAAGATAGGCCAAGGCGCCAGACCCAGGAACAGCCCCAAGTGGCCCCACATCTTCCGTGAGCCAGTCAGAAGACAGCTCCAGGAGGGAAAAGAAGCGCAAGGCCGCAACCAAAAGGCCCCGAGCGTGCAAGTCCTCCGCCACCTGCGCTGCCGAAAAGGAGGGAACCTGCACATGGAGCTGAACGACACCAACATTCCAGGAAAGAGCAGGAGCAAACAAGCACTCATTAAGGTGCTCAAGGTCCCCCCCCCCCCCAGGAAAACCTGAAGCATCGTCGAAGCCTCCCACCACTCAAGCGTGTGGGAACGGCAGAAGGAGTGCCAAGCCTCCAAGGCAAAGACAGGACAGTCCGCCAGCCAGGACAACTCCGGAACCTCATAACGGAGCCAGAAAAGGAACGAAGTCCTGAACTTGAAAAGGGACGAGGGATCCATTGCCGAGGCATAATCCGGGTCACACAGGAGGAACCAAAGCACCTGGGGGAACACGGAACCGAACCAGGGGAGGGCCAGACACCAAATCCAACTCGTACACAGAGGGGGGAAAAGAAAAACCCACTCCTTGTAACAGTAGGCCCCGCTCAGAGGGTGGAAAAACCCAGGCGGGGTCCAGCAGGGCACAAGACCTCTAAGTCAGCCCCTCCCCAGCCCCATGGTTCTCTTCCGCAGGACCCGAGGCCGAGTCCTCCCCCCAAGCACCGACCCCACTAGACAAGAGATGGTTGGGTTGACTGCATCTATCTAGACCTAAAAAAGGCTTTTGACAGAGTTCCACATAAGAGGTTGTTCTGGAAACTGGAAAATATTGGAGGGGTGACAGATAAGCTTCTAACATGGATGAAAAATTTTCTGACTGATAGAAAAATGAGGGCAGTGATCAGAGGCAATGTATCGGATTGGAGAAATGTCACAAGTGGAGTACCACAGGGTTCAGTTCTTGCACCAGTGAAGTTTATTGTCTACATAAATGATCTACCAGTTGGTATACAGAATTATATGAACATGTTTGCTGATGATGCTAAGATAATAGGAAGGATAAGAAACTTAGATGATTGTCATGCCCTTCAAGATGACCTCGACAAAAGTAAATGGAGCACCACTTGGCAAATGGAATTTACTGTTAATAAATGCCATGTTATTTAATGTGGAATAGGAGAACATAGACCCCACACAACCTATATATTATGTGAGAAATCTTTAAAGAATTCTGATAAAGAAAGAGATCTAGGGGTGGTTCTAGATAGAAAACTATCACCTGAGGACCACATAAAGAATATTGTGCGAGGAGCCTATGCCACGCTTTCTAACTTCAGAATTGCTTTTAAATACATGGATGGTGATATACTAAACAAATTGTTCATGACTTTTGTTAGGCCAAAGCTAGAATATGCAGTGGTTGTGTGGTGCCCATATCTTAAGAAGCACATCAACAAACTGGAAAAGGTGCAAAGACACGCTACTAAGTGGCTCCCAGAACTGAAGGGCAAGAGCTACGAGGAGAGGTTAGAGGCATTAAATATGCCAAAATTAGAAGACAGAAGAAAAAGAGGTGATTTGATCACTACATTCAAAATAGTAACAGGAATTGATAAAATCGATAGGGAAGATTTCCTGAAACCTGGAACTTTAAGAACAAGAGGTCATAGATTTAAACTAGCTAAACACAGATGCCGAAGAAATATAAGAAAATTCACTTTCGCAGAGTGGTAGACGGTTGGAACAAGTTAGGTAAGAAGGTGGTGGAGGCCAAGACCGTCAGTAGTTTCAAAGCATTATATGACAGAGTGCTGGGAAGACGGGACACCACGAGCGTAGCTCTCATCCTGTAACTACACTTAGGTAAAGTCGTGAACAATTTCTTTAGTATATCGCCAGCCATGTATTTAAAAGCCATTCTGAAGTTAGAAAGCGTGGCATGTAATTACCTAAGTGTAATTACCTAAGTGTAGTTACAGGATGAGAGCTACGCTCGTGGTGTCCCGTCTTCCCAGCACTCTTTGTCATATAACGCTTTGAAACCACTGACGGTCTTGGCCTCCACCACCCTCTCACCTAACTTGTTCCAACCGTCTACCACTCTATTTGCGAAGGTGAATTTTCTTATATTTCTTCGGCATCTGTGTTTAGCTAGTTTAAATCTATGACCTCTTGTTCTTGAAGTTCCAGGTCTCAGGAAGTCTTCCCTGTCGATTTTATCAATTCCTGTTACTATTTTGTACGTAGTGATCATATCACCTCTTTTTCTTCTGTCTTCTAGTTTTGGCATATTTAATGCTTCTAGCCTCTCCTCGTAGCTCTTGTGTGTGTGCGTGCGTGTGTGTAAATCACGAAAAATAAACACGTGATTAAAAATAGTGTAAGTGTCAGACCACGGAGGAAAATTGAAACAGGAATTTCCTTAAGTACTTTCCTATATTAATACATCTTCAGAAGGAGTGGTTTTACAGGTCGAGTACTGGACATAAATAGGCAGGAGAGAATGGTGGAGTGAGGTGAGGTACAATAAGTGGACACAAATATCAATTACACATAAGTGGACACAATTACCGTAGTGATAATTGTGTCATTTATAAAATACCTTGTAAAGACTGTAATAAGTTTTATGTTGGGCAAACATCTAAAGATTTGAAATCTTGAGGTTATCTTGAGATGATTTCGGGGCTTTTTAGTGACCCCGCGGCCCGGTCCTCGACCAGGCCTTCACCCCCCAGGAAGCAGCCTGTGACAGCTGACTAACACCCAGGTACCTATTTTACTGCTAGGTAACAGGGGCATAGGGTGAAAGAAACTCTGCCCATTGTTTCTCGCCGGCGCCTGGGATCGAACCCAGGACCACAGGATCACAAGTCCAGCGTGCTGTCCGCTCGGCCGACCGGCTCCCCAATTTCACAACATAAATACTCTGTAAGACATGGCCAATTGTCTAATGCTTTGTTCGTTCATTTGTCAGAAGATGCTCGATTCGGTCAAAGAGTTCTTAGTGATATATATTATATATATATATATATATGTCGTACCTAGTAGCCAGAACGCACTTCTCAGCCTATTATGCAAGGCCCGATTTGCCTAATAAGCCAAGTTTTCCTGAATTAATATTTTTTCTCTAATTTTTTTCTTATGAAATGATAAAGCTACCCATTTCATTATGAATGAGGTCAGTTTTTTTTTATTGGCGTTAAAATTAACGTAGATATCGGACCGAACCTATCCAACCCTACCTAACCTAACCTAACCTATCTTTATTGGTTAGGTTGGGTTAGGTAGCTGAAAAAGTTAGGTTAGGTTAGGTTAGGTAGGTTAGGTTGTCGAAAAACAATTATTTCATGAAAACTTGGCTTATTAGGCAAATCGGGCCTTGCATAGTAGGCTGACAAGTGCGTTCTGGCTACTAGGTACGACATATTATATATATATATATATATATATATATATATATATATATATATATATATATTTATTTATTTTAAACACAAACAAATATATATTCCATCATGTGAAAAAAACATTTGCAATGGCAAAAAATGACCAAATCTCTTAGTGAACTGGATTCCACAGTAAAAGGAAATGGGTTGAGTCCCAGTTAATTCATGGAAGGTGCCACTGTACAAATAGTAATTATGCATATTATTTTGATAATGATGAGGTGTTACTGTTATTTAAGCAGGTGACCTTTTCCAGAACTCACTCATAACTGCAAGGGTGATGATGTCTCTAATATAATCTCCATCCGGTGTGACAGACTCGCATTGATAACGTCCATAGTCTTCAGGTCTGATGAATGGTAGTCTGAAATTGAACAATAATTTAAAATCTAAAATGTAGTAACACTTATTTATTAACTAGGATTCTGAACTATACCATCCGATTGCTAACATAAGGCAATCCATGGCAATACACTATGCCAGATTAATGATATATTTAAAACAGTAAGATCATTAAAAAACCAGCGTTCAATGTAATGAAATGCCATTTTCAGGATGAGTCCCCAGAGGCTCCCCGGAGCTATCCATGGCTGATATGGATATCCTAACTATTTTGCATCAGTCGATGTGGGTGAAGTTCTAGCATACCGGGGACCACGAGCCAGAACCTGGCCCCCCTCACAGAGGCACGGGGAGCAATGGCTCATAGAAATGCACATGTGATTTGGAGCATTCTATATCTGCCATCGACCGGGACAGGCACCCAGAAAGGTAAGCGCCACAAAACAAACCTCTATTCTAGTTAACAACGAAAATTGACAAATGAGTGGACAGAACTCCCCGAAAGAAAAACGAGCAAACAAGCATGACGTCACACGAGCCATGCCTGATGTCTGCGCAGCTCCCCCCCTCCCCGGGAGGGGGAAGGGGGAGCTCCAGACCCCCGGGCCAGCGATCCACGCCCCAGTTCAGAGGTTGGATATCAAAAACCGCGAAAAAAATGCCGACCGGAGGGCGGGAGGGATGCCGGAGAGCCTCCGGGACTCACCCAGAAAATGGCATTTCATTACATTCAACGCTGGTTTCCTAGGGGGAGCCCCTACGGCTCCCCGGAGCTACCTCACCAAAGACTACCAAGAAAACCAAGGGGACTTACCCGGGAGGCGGTCGGTGCTCCACTCCTCATGTGAAGACGAGACAACGGGCTGCAACCGCCGACCTAAAGCAACACAGGCCCGACTGGGACCAGGAACGTTTACAAGGTAGCGTGCAGTCAGGGTCTTGGCTGCACGCTATGCAATGAACCAACAGGGAGCAGTCCGAATGGAGCCGGATCGTCGATCCGCCGGCGACTTGAACCCTCCGAAGCGCAAACCACACTGCCGCAAACTCTCGCACCGTGCTGTGGACCCGACGGTTCAAGGGTCCAGACGGGACAAGTCCAGAATGAACCGCAGGTCCGCACAGTCCCGTTTCGGAACTGGAAACAGGCGGGAAACAGGCGACTCCGTCCCACCTGAGGGACGGAGTTGTTTTGACCACGCCCAAGCGTACCCACTCCAAGATGACCTAATGGAGCGCAGGAGAGGAAGCCTGCCCTGTCAGCCCCGAACCCCCGGTAGGAGGAGGAGCCACCCAACGCCACCGCAGGCCGCGAGAAACGACCCGAAAAGCCCACAAATCATGAGACCAGGCGTGAGCGAACAGAGATAGCCTCCCCCCCATCGCCCTATCAATGGGGCAAACTGCAAAAGGGCCGCTACCCCTTACGAGAACCCGACCTGCGCGCAGAGCGAACACCGCGCCAACCAAGTACAGGTGGGACTGCAGGCGGCACCGGCACCGAACCCGACACCTGTGGCCCACCCCGACAAACGGAACCGCGAGCCTTAGTACGACCCCGCCGGGAAGGAACCCCCCGGAGCACCAACAACTCAGACATAGGGCAGCAAGAGGAAGAAGCCGCCTGAATATAACGCTCAACCACAGAAGCTTCAAAAAGCAGAGGACAAAAGGGAGAAGACAACCTAAGAACCAGGGCCCAAGTGGATTCCAAAGAGGAAGCAAGGAGTGAAAAGACACTCATTAAGGTGCTCAAAATCGCCCCCCAGGTAAACTTGGACCACCGTCAACGCCTCACGCCACTGCGGGTTCAACAGAACAAGTCCCAAGCATCCAGCGAAAACAAGGGGCAGTTTGCAAGCCAGGACAACCCCGGAACCTCATAACGCACCCAGTAAGGACACGACGATCCAAACCTGAAAGAAGAAGGATCCATTATGGAGGCGTACTCCGGGTCACGCAGGAGGTAAGCCGCAAAGGCTGACCGCACCTCAGGCGGAGAGATGCGGATAGCCGAAAACTTCCGGAAAGACGGAACCGAAGAAATCCACAGGGACACTGAACCGAACCCTGGGAGGAGCAGAACCCAAGTCCAAATTGTATGCAGATGGGGGAAAGGAAAACCCCACTCCTTGCAACAGTAAGCCCCGCTCAGAAGGACGGAAAATCCAGGCTGGGTCCAATGGAGCCCAAGGCCCCGAAGTCAGCTCCTCCCCAACCCCAGGAGCCTGTACACCAGGCCCCGGGGCCGAGCCGTCCTCCAAAGCCCCGGCCTCACAAGAAAAAGCCGGGGCAGCCGAAAGAGCCGGAAGAGAAGGGGGCCCACTGGTCAGACCCCAGAGCATCGGCCGGAGGAACAGACTCGAATGCCTCCGTAGCCACCCTGGATGGGGCAACCCCCGAAACCGCCAGTCTCAGAAACCTCTAAACCCCAGCCTGACCCCGAAGCCCTCAGACGCTTAGGGGCCGGAAGCAGGGGGAATAGGGGGACAAAATAAACCACCGAAAGGGAAGAACAAGGAGGCGCGGACGGAACCAAGGCCGAAGCGACCAACACCCCCAAATCCGGGTCCCTATACACAAAGTGGGGCAGCCTCGGGGCATCTGGGGAAGCGACAACCCGAGCTCGTTGCAATAACCGAAACCTACCTTGCAACGCATGAGCTGCCTGCACCCGAAGTAATCCATCAGCAGACTGGGTGAATTGAGTCATGAACAAACAACACAGCTCGCAGGACTCAGGGTCGAATGTGTCACCGACCCAACAGGCAGCATGACGGAGGCAAAAACAATGAGAGTCACCCAAAGACAAGGGGACAGAGCAACCCTCAAACTCGCACACAGTGAGAAGGAACACAAGGGTCTCCTCCATCGGACCCAAGAGCCCCCACGGGGTTTCCCAGGGCCCCTAGACTGGGTCTGCTAAGGGTTATCCCAGGCAGGGCACTGTTAACCGGCATCCCAAACTACCAAGCAATCTGCTAAAAGCTGAACCCACGGGACGTGTACACTCGCGAGGGCGAAGCAAGGAGTGCCACCACACAAACGACCCTAATATAAGGGGAAGGGAAAACACAAGGCAGACCCCCCCACCAGGCAAAAAGAAAAAGAAAAGAAAAACAAGTGGACAACGTACCCAGTGGGAACAGAGCCGGCTGCTGTTATAGGTGAAAACTAGCTATGCAGTACCCTGTGCCCCACCAGTGCTATAACTACCACTTACCCCAAGGTAAACAAGGGAGGAAAACCCCCAAACACTCGGGGCGGCCAAACGTCAAGCAGCGAAAAGCCAACAAAGGCAGATCCAAGGTGACTTGTGGAAGGCAACCCCAAGCCCCAAGGGCGGTATTTACAGGGCACTCAGGGAAGGAGACCCTAAGCACATGCAGCCCGAGTACCTGAGAATACTACTCCCTGCTCACACGACCACCGTAAGAGCAGCACTGAAAACAAATCACAGCACTGAGACAAGACTGGAGCTGGAGCCACATGACCATGCACAATCCCATCAGCCGAGGAACTGGGGTGTGGATCGCTGGCTCGGGGGGTCTGGGGCTCCCCCTTCCCCCTCCCAGGGAGGGGAGAGCTGCGCAAACATGCGGCGCGGCTCGTGGGACGTCATGCTTGTTTGCTCGTTGTTCCTTTGGGGGAGTTCTGTCCACTCGTTTGTCAATTTTCGTTGTTAACCAGAATAGAGGTTTGTTTTGTGGCGCTTACCTTTCTGGGTGCCTGTCCCGATCAATGGCAGATATAGAATGCTCCAAATCACATGTGCATTTCTATGGGCCATTGCTCCCCGTGCCTCTGTGAGGGGGGCCAGGTTCTGGCTCGTGGTCCCCAGTAGGCTAGAACTCCACCTACATTGATTGATGCAAAATAGTTAGGATATCCATATCAACCATGGATAGCTCCAGGGAGCCGTAGGGGCTCCCCCCCAGAAATGTCAGTGCTTGGCCATTAATGAGGAAAGAGATGCTGGAGTTTTCTATCCAGCCAGCAATGACCTCTAGACAGTTCATCATCTACACTCGAAAAATCTTTTCCAAATGGTACTCGGCCTCAGTAGCTCACAAAGCATCATTTTGCTATATGGCCTCTATATAATTAACATTATATATAAAAATATAATTGCTGCTAGACAGTACCTAAGGATATTGCCTTGTTGTATAGCTCCATGGGGAAGTTCACCTTCAACACGAGTCCATCTTATGGAATTAGGGTCAACTCCAGAAGCTTCACAGCGTAGTTCTGCTGTTTGACCTACATCCACTTCGACATAAGGTGTAATTGCTGTCAATAATGGTTCATCTGAAAAACAAAGTACAAATGTCAGTATTTATTTATCCAAATATCATTGGGAATTTAAATCATTAGAGGAGCTGTTAATTAATATTAACTAAAAAACCAGCATTGAATGTAATAAAACGGCATTTGATGGGCAAGTCCTGAAGGCTCCCTGGAGCTCACCGGGCTGATATGTATGTATTAGACCTCTGGGATCAGAAAATTTGATGGAGTTCTGGCCTACCGAGGACCACAAGCCAGAACATGGCCCCCTCATAGAGGCACGAGGAGCAATGACCTATATTAACTCCCATGTGTTTGGAAGCATTCTATGCCTGCCATCTACCGGGTTAGCCACCCAAAAAGGAAGGCGTAATTTTTTTGCAATGGCTAAAAATTGCAGCCGAAAGCTAACCTAGCAAGCAGAACTCCAATCCGAAAACAAGCAAGCAAGTATGATGTCGCCATGCTCTCTGCAAAGCTTCCCCCCCCTTCCTGGGAGAGGGAAGGGGAAGCCGCAGACCCCCTCACACCGGCTATCCAACCATCAGTTCAGAGGCTACATATGAAAAGAAGTGAAAAACCAGTGAATGGAGGGAGGGAGAGTTGCTGGGGAGCCTCTAGGACTCACTCAGAAAATGGCACTTCAATACATTCAACACCGATTTTCTGTGGAGAGCCCCCTCCAGCTTTCTAGGGCTACCTAACCAAAGACAAGAAAAAGAGGGACTTGACTAGAAGGCGGCTGCCACTTGCACCTCAACTCGAAGTCGAGACAACTGGCTGCAACCTGCGACCCAAACACATGCCCGAGCCGGGCCAGGAACATTAACAAGGTACCAAGCGGCCAGGAACATTAACAAGGTACCGTGCGGCCAGGACTAGGACTAGGTGATAGCAAACAGCGTGAACCTCCCCTCCCTCCATTACCCTATCAATGGGGCAAACTGCGAAAAGGCCGATGACCCTTACGAGAAGACGACCGACGTGTAGAGTGAGCAACCAGACATGTCGGCTCCGGAGGAGGAGCCGACCCCAAATCTGGCACCACTGGCCCACCACGACTGAAGGAACCCCGAACACTGGCACGACCCTTTTGGGCAGGACCCTCATGGATCACTTTCCCCGGACAACCAACATGTCTGACATAAGCCGGCAACTAGACGAAGCTGTCTACAGAAAATGCACCATTGCAGACTCTGCAAACAGCAACAGACAAAAAGGAGATGAAAATCTAAGAGCAAGGGGCCCAAGCTGATTTCAAGGAGTGAGCAAGCACTGCCTGCTGGCATGGTGCTCGCTCACGGTTATGCGAGGCGAGAAGCATAGAACAGAGACACCGCTTCCTTCAGAATTGGCACAAACAGCTTCAACAACGCAGCCGACGCCCGAGCCGCCGAGGTAAGCGCACCAGACCCAGGCCTCGACATCCTCCTCGAGCCAGTCCGAAGACAGTTCCAGCAGGGAAAAGAAGAGCAAGACTAAAGCCAAATGCCTATGGACACGCAACTCCTCAGCTATCAGGGACGTCAAGAGGGAGGGTCTACTGTACCTGGCAGATATTGCAAGGAAGAACAGGGGTGAACAAGCACGCATTGAGGTGCTCAAACTCACTCCCCTCACCCCTAAGTAAACCTGAACCACCGTAGTAGTTTCCCGCCACTCAAGCGTGCAGTTCCGACAGAATGCATGCCATGCTCCCAACGAAAAGAAAGGGCAGTCTGCCAACCAGGAGGACTCCAGCACCTCCTAACACACCCAGTAAGGGAAAGTAGAATCAAATTCAAATGAAGAAGGATCCATTATCGAAGCAAAATCCGGGTCTTGCAGAAGGTACGACACAATGGGCTCCTGAACCTTTTAAGGCGGGATGTGGGTAGCCAAAAACCTCCAGAAGGAGGAACTGAAGAACCTAAGGGAACCCAGAACTGAACCCAGGAAGCAGCTGAACTCATATCAAACTCGTACAGGGAGGGGGGGGGATAAGAACCCCTTCCCCTGCAACAACAAGCCCCATGCTGAGGGTACAAACACCTAAGCGGGATCAAATGGGCCCCAAGCCCCCCAAGTAAGCTCCTCCCCAGCCTCAGGATCCTCTACAGCAGGACCCAGGGCAGAGCCATCCTCCAAACCCTCTGCCTCAGGAGAAAAGGCAGAGTCCACTGGAAAAGCACGGAAGTGGGTCCGTTGGTCCGACCCAAAAGTCCCAGCAGGAGAAACATGCTCGAATGTCTCCCCAACCAATCCGGAAGGGGTAGTCCCTGAAACCGCCCGAGCCTCACCACCATCTAAACTCCTGCCCTGACTCCACTAATGGAGTCATTATTGGAGTCAGTACAAACACTCAGACATTTGGGAGCCGGCAACAGGGTGGTGGGGGGGGGGGGGGAGAGGGTTGAGCAGGATGAACAACACAAGGGAAAGGATGAGAGGGTGTGGACAAAATCAAAGTTGAGGCAACTAACACTCCCAAGTCTGGGTCCCTATAACCAAAGCTGGGTAGCCTCGGGGCATCCAGAAAGGCAACCAACCTAGTGCATTGCAGCAACCTAAACTTTGCATACAATGCTGAAGCTGTCTGCACCCGAATATCAATATCAGTGGACTAGATGAATTAGAGTACAAGCAACAAACACCACTCACAGGACTCTGGGTCAAAAGTGTCATTGACCCAACAGGCAGCATGACAGAAGCAAAGATGGTGAGTGTCACTCTGAGACATGGGGACAGAACAACCTTGAAACTTGCACGAAGTGAGATGGGACTCGGAGGATGTATCCATGGGACCAGTGAACCCCAACAGGGTTTTCCAGGGCCCTTTGGCTGGCTGCTAAGGGAAGCCCGGGCTTCCCTTACTGCTAACCGGTTATCCCAAAACTACCAAACAAACAAATGCTGAAGTCCTACGATGTGTGCAATCCCGGGGCATAGCGGAGGGCCACCAAAATAATATAAGTGGTCCTGTACCACACCAGGCAGAACCTCCCCCCCCCCCTCCCTGGCAAATAAAAGAAAAAAAAGAAAACCCCCACAAAAACACGTCTCCAGGAGGAACAGAACCGGCCGCTATGCGTATTATAAGACAGCTGCATACTACCTTGTGCCCCTGCCAGCAATGATACTACCTTCTACCCAAGGTCAGAGAAAGGCAAGAAAAACCCCAGCTGATCATAAGGGTGCAAAATTACCGAGCAGCAAAAAAAAAAAAAACCTGTGGAGGTAGTCCCCGAACAGTTTGTGGAAGGCTACCCCAAATCGCAAGGGCAGTACTTACAGGGCACCTAGGGAAAGTGACCCTAGGTGCATGCAGTCCCAATACTTCTTGAAAAACACCTGGCTCGCACACCACCACACAGCAGCACAACACCGCAAGGCACAGCACTGCTCAAAGATTAGAGCCAGAGTCGAACGACCGCCACACAACACATCAGCATCAGAATTGATGGTTGGATAGCCAGCGCGAGGGGTCTGGGATTCCCTAGGGAAGGGGAAGCGGTGCAGACAGCAGTGCTGCGGCAATGGTGGCATCATGGTTGTTTGCTTCTTTTTGGATTGGGGAGTTCTGCTTGCTAGGTCGGCTTTTGGTTGCAATTTTTAACCAGTTGCAGTTTGTCTTGGGACGCCTACCTATCTGAGTGCCTAACCCGGTAGATGGCAGACATAGAATGCTTCCAACCACATGGGGGTCATGGAGGTTTCTATAGGCCATTGCTCCTCGTGCCTCTCTGAGGGGGGCCAGGTTCTGGCTCGTGGTCTCCAATAGACTAGAACTCCATTGAATTGACTGATGCCACGGTCTAATACATATATCAGTCCGGTAATCTCCGGGGAGCCGGAGGGGCTCCCCACAGAAATATGAAAATAATTAGGAGGGTATTAAGAGAACCTGCAAATTAAAATAGTAAGCATTCAAAGATATTTAAAGGCAGAGGATTGAAAACAACATACAAGAAAATACAAGAAAATAATATATACAAGAAAATAACACATACAAGAAAATACAAGAAAATAACACATACAAGAAAATACAATGAAATAACACATACAAGAAAATACAATAAAATAACACATACAAGAAAATAACCTACAAAAACATTTTGAGAATCATTCGTTTCAGCTTGATAAACCTCTTAAAAAATCCATTCAGAATATTTATAATGAGCCTATATACACTGGCTGTGATTGAATTTGTAATAGAAGTATTACACATAATAATAATTAATGAATAAGAACATTTTCATGATTGAAAACAAACACCAAACACACACACACACACATGTACAAGGGGTGGAGGCCAAAACTGTCAGTAGTTTCAAAGTGTTATATGACAAAGAGTACTGGTAAGACAGGCCACCACGAGCATAACTCTCTTCCTGTAACTACACTTAGGTAATTACACAGGTAATTACACTTGGGTAATTACAGGTAGAAACTGAGTACCAGATGAGCCACAGAGACATTAGAAAGAACTTATTTAATGTCAGAGTAGTTAACATATGGAATGCACTAGGCAGTAATATGGTGGAGGCAGATTCCATACACAAAGTTTCAAATGTAGATATAATAGAGCCCAATAGGCTCAGGAACCTGTACTCCAGTTGATTGACTGTTGAGAGGTGGGATCAAAGAGCCAAAGCTTAACCCCCAAAAGCACAATTAGGTGAGTACACACACACACACACAGAACAGCCTTCACCAAATTCAATGGTTTACATTAAATTAAAATTTCATATTTTATCTTAGAATACAATGCCTATATTAACATTTTCACACACTCGTAACGCCGCTGGCGTCACCAATTTTTCTTGAGTCGCAGCTGGTAAGCGAGCGTCGGCCTCAATTTAAAATATTTGTTAAAACTTTAAATTTTATCCAATCAATCTGGGAGTGGTTTTAAAATGAGTGCCTTTAAAATGCGCACAACTTGATACCAAAATGAAAGACATAACACAAAACTTGATGTCAGAACACTTGAAAGACTATAAATAAGTTTTTGGTCAAAATTTTAAAAATATTTGTTAAAATTCTATTTATTTTATTATCATTATGGGACTAGTTTTAAAATGCGCGCCTTTAGATTGCGAACAATTTGATACCAAAATGAAAGATGTAACACGAAAATTTATGTCAGAACACTGGAAATAAATAATTTTGTGATGATGAGCGTCCAAAATTATAATATTTGTTAAAATTTCAGTTATTGATCTATTATTATGGGACTAGTTTTAAAATACGCGCCTTTATATTGCAAACAATTTGATATTAAAATGAAAGACGTAACACGAAAATTGATGTTATCAAACTGAACGAGTATACACATTAGGCTGTGGTGAGCAAATTGGTGCTCATTCATGGGTAAATTTAGGCTTTGCTGTGGGGAGTCACTCCGGGCTTTTGGACATTATATGCATGTACACCTGCAGGGAATTTAATTGCGAACACAATGATACCAAAATGAACAATGTAGCACGAGAATTAAGGTGAAAAAACTGAAACAAGTACAGTACTGTAAAATTAATTAACACTTTCGCGCTCTCGGCAAACAAAAAAAAAATTGCCCCTTATGCGTGCGGCGTTTCGGGCGATCGAGCGGCAACACTGAAAAGTGTATACTCTTTTCACTGTCCTGACATTAATTTTCGATGTACGTATTTCATTTTTGTACCAATGTGTTCACAATAGAATGTTCTAGAAGAACATAAGTATAAAATGTCACCAAAGCATGAGTTAGATCAGCACCAAATAAAGAACTACATCGATCACTAGCAGTGAGCACCAAACAGCAACGAAATGTTTTTACTCTCTTCAGGGTTGTCAACTCCACACTTGTCCTTCAGCATTAATTTTGGTATCACTGAGATCGCAATAAAATTCCCTACGCGGACATATGCATATAAATATAGAATCAATGTCACAGCCCACCCGCAAGAGTGTGGGAAGTGGCCGAAGTGTTACGCGTGGCGGCATATCGGCGAAACCCCTATTGAAAAGTGTATATTCTTTTCACTGTCCTGACATTAATTTTCGATGTATTTCATTTTTGTACCAATGTGTTCGCAATAGAATGTTCTAGAAGAATATAAGTATAAAACGTCACACAAGGATGCGTTAAACTGGCACCAAATGAAAAACTACGTCGATTACACTCGTCGTGTCAATAATACAATGGTCTTCCACTATGATGCAATGCCATGCCGTTCTCCCAAATAGGCTATGCGGCTATAAGGGAAAACGGAAATTTCATAGCGAACATTTGTAAACTATCCCAAAGTCGATCGGATAGAAAATAGATTTTATACAAATATTTTTTCTCGTGACTCGTGGGCGAGTTTGTCACGCGCACTCAGGAGAAAAGTGGGTAACGTTCTGAAGAGCCATGGATGCGCGAAAGTGTATATTAATTAAAATCCACCACATGCAAGTTTTATAAACAATTACCAACATACAAGTTTGTGCTAGTGCTTGGAAACCTTTGAGAGTACTGTACGTGAAGGTAAATACTAAATACAGTACAGGGCCCTTTTTAAGTTTTGAAAAACAGTTTTTAGGAGAGTGGTTGTTAAGAGCATGAAATGCCTTGCATAGAAGCAAGACATATTCCAAAAAGAAAAAATCATGACAGAATATGGAGGAGCAAGCAGGCTTACTGAACAGAAGCAAAAGCTTGAAAAGTACCACAGACCTCAAAGGTTCTTTGATTCTTTTTAAATGATGAGAACTTACAGGTAATATTAGCTTATTGAAGACAGTAATAACAACACTCTGGTATAACAATGCATTGGGCAGACATTATATAAAACAGTATATTTTTTTTACTTAGCATAACTTTTCTGTTCTTGGAGTACTGGATGTCACAGAAATATGCTTGAAAATGCTATCAAACTAGCATGAACCTTGACTTACAAAACAAGACAAACAACAATAAATCACAAAGTCAAATCACCACGAGGAGCTTTCCAATTTGTAAAATTACATATACAATATCCAATACAGACAGCACTAAATCAACTATTGTCCGCTTCATTACCATGAGCAACATGTCGTCTACGCCGAAAACAAATTTTCTCATCTTTGCAGTCATTACAATCACACTGGCCATCGCAGTTGAGGTAGAAGGAATAGCAGGAACCATCTCCACATTTGAAGAAGTCTGAGCACTTACTTAAGTCGAATAAATTGTCTGAATACAGATAAAATAAATACAAAAATTTAATTTGAAACAAATTAGTAACTCGGCACCAAATACATAAAGTAAAATTATTTCTGTGCAACTTCTCAGTAACAATTCGAGCCAGGGTCCACACGAAACACTGCACATAGCCCAAGCTCTCTTCAACCTGTGCTTAACAATGACATGGACATTTTTAAATGGTTTTGTTAAATGAAACTGTAAGAGGAAACAGGGAAGATAAAATTATTATTTGTTAAAACATTAAGTAACAGAATCATAGCAAAATACCCCCCATTCAAGAATGAAATTGAAATACACAGATGGCCAGTTGTTCTTATTCTTGCTGCCAGTTACCTAACTAAATACTACTGCATCACCAAATAGGGTTGGAGGAGAAGGCAACCATCACTTGAAGAACAGGCCAACCAAACATGCACAACAAGTCAAAACTTCAAGGGCTGGAGAGGAAGGAACTGAAGGGCAGAATTTTTTTTTTTTTAATACTGTACTAAACACCTTACTTCTAAGAGACACCCTTGGTTACTCCTTGAGACAACTACCCATAAAAGAAGTACTTCAAGATTAAATCCAGCATTTTATGTAATGAAATATTGCAGTACTAGTAAATTGCACAAGACTTCTGAGACCTACCTAAGCCTACTGGAGTCCAGGGCTCCAAAATATGGCTCTCTATGAAGTGAAGGAAGTATGGGAATCAGAGTTCAACCCCAAGACCTGGAAAAACTCACCAAAAGTGTAAGGATATGAATAGCAGCAACTGCTTGACAGTAAATTAACAACTCTGAGGAAAACAAGGCAAACAATTGCTGCCAAAGTGTAAACACCCCAACTGTAATGTGCCCGACTGTCACCCGATGGCAACCCAGGTCACCTAGGGTTCCTGCCAGCCAACCACCTCACTCATGAGCCACTTGAGCAGTAACTCAACTCTTATGGAAAAAAATAGAATATGGCTGATACTGGAAGCTCCCGAGTCGCCCACCAGAAAACGGCATTTTTTAATGGGAGGGGCACCCTCACATTTGCTATCCTAGCTAACTTACAAAAACATCTCTGCAGGAGGCTACTTGTGTGAACAGCACCACGGAAAGCTGCATAATGAAGAATCAGACTCAACATTAGCCAGAAACACCTTTGGAGCCATAACACCAACATGAAGAGAGGAGCGCATCTACAAACTAATAACAAAACCACCAATGAATGAAATGAAATCCTCTTTCTGGATGAATCCCGTTGGCTCCCCGAATGTATATCGCTGAGATGGCTCCTAACCACCAGGTTACATCAGCCGCGGAGTTCTGTTTCAAATATGGGGACCAGAGCCTGAAACTGGAACTTCCCCTCATAGAGGCACAGAGAGTGGGTGACACACTGCCTCCATATCCAGAAAGCATCCATAAAGTCAATGAACCAATACAGACCACTGCTTGGTTTAAAGAGATTGAAGCCTCAAAACTGCTAAATGAACTCCCCAAACAATGCAAATAAATGATCAAATCTTTCAAAACTAGGGCAAGCTTCTTAGCACCAACCCCCCTGCCAGTAGGAAAAGGGGTGCCAGAGCTCCAGGTCTCCCCAAGTCTTCTAGGGCCAGTTCTGGAGCAGACGTGAAGACCACAAATACCAACTGACGAGCCTTAAATGGAGAGAAGGAGGCAGGGAATTAGGAAGCCACTGAGACTCCCCCAAAATGAGTCATTCATTACATTCACCGCTGGTTTTCTGGGGAACCTCCTTGTGGCTTTCTGAAGCTAACTTCCCACAGAAAAGAAGAAGAGATACACCAAGGATGAGGAGAGACTACAGGTAATCAAGGTGAAGAAGAGACCACTGGTCAAGAGAGATCCCAAGGCAATACAGGCATGAAGAGGCCCAGGGATATTAACTAAATACTGGGTCACCAAAACCTCCATAATAAAATATCAGTCCAGGACATGTCAAAGAAGACTGCTGCATGAGCAGCATACCTATGGAAATCATGGCTGGCATGAGGATAGACCTCTGGTTGGCTAGACTTTATGACACTGTGGATAACCTGAGAAACACAAGCCTTAGAACAGAGAACCAAGGAAGAAGGATCAACCCACAAAGTGTCCACTGAGGCAGAATCAGTGGCACGAAGATGGTGACAAAGAACTACCACCAGGAAGAGCATGTGATGCACCCCTGGCTAAACCAGACAAGCATTAATAACCAAAGGACCCCTGAAGCTTGCTAGCTCATTATTACCAGAAAAGAAGACAGCTGCAAATGAACATAATGCCCACCAGGGCAAAAACAACAACAACAACAACAAAAAAAAAACTCCAGAGAAAAGCATGAAGCTCCCTAGCCTAACAATCAGAGGTGAGCACCAACAGGAAAACTGCCTTAGAAAAGGAATCAGGGACTGAAGGGAAAGCCATAAACTGAGAAGAAGAAAGGGGAGAACACGGTCAAGAGACCAGGAGGGCTCAGGCAGTGCACAAATAGGCCAGAGTTGACAAAATGCACAGGACACCTTATGAAATGATGCCAAGGCAATATCGACTCTGAACACCCGTAGCAGGGGCTCCGTCAGTGTCGAACAATACAAGGTAACAGCATTAGGTATAAGATTATCTATCAGATCTGAATTAATCTTTACAGAGTTGGCTGTCATGTGGGTGGGGACCAGGCAACAGGTGAGGGTTGGCTGCCCACTCCGACCCCAGTTTGATAATACCGCCACCATTTGGTGACAGTCGGATAATTTTTGTACTTAGATTATTGTTAATTAGCAGAAGAATAACTGGTTATCCTTGTACTTCTATTAATTTCTCAAAAGGGATGCTGACTATTGTAATTCTACAGCAAGACATTTTCTTGGTTGTGGACTCTTTTCAAGAGTTCCTTGTTACTATGAGGCACATTCAACAAGAGCACAGTCAACGAGAACCTGGCAAAAGTGCAGTGTCCTGGGTGGACCCTGGTCATAGCTCTGGCAGTGACCAAGGGGCCCATGGTCAGAAAATAATTTGAAAATTAAATTAAATAGATTACATTTTTAAATAATGTTAACTGTAAATACATATTATATATATTGTAATAACAAATATATACACATCTTTAATGCCTTCTTACTACAGTGGTCTCCCTTAATTTAAATGGACACAAGAAAAATCTTCAGACTGCATTTTCTGGGAGGAGCCCCGTCGGCTTCCCGGAGCTATCCATGCTGAATGGATATGTTTAACTTTCTGGCATCAATCAATGTGCACAGAGGTCTTGCCTACCGGGAACCATGAGCCAGAACCTGGCTCCCCTCAAGAGAGGCACAAGGAGCAATGGCCTACAGAAACACCCGTGAAGGGGTTGCTTACGTCAGTTGGGAGCATTCTATGTCTGCCATTGACCAGATCTGGCACCCAGAAATGTAGACACCCCAAAACAAACCCCTATTCTGGTGAAACTATTGCTACCGAAAGCAGAACAAGTGGACAGAACTCTCCAAATGAAAATTAGCAAACGAACATGATGATATCATGTCGCTGTGCCGCTGTCTGTGCAACATCCCCCCTTTTCTCCGGGAGGGGGAAGGGGGGAGCTCCAGACCCCCATGCCGGCAATCCACCCTTCAGTTCTCAAGCTGATGTGCTACTGACGTGGTCTTGTGCCTCTGGCTCAAGCGATTTGTCTCAGATTCTGTGCCTTGTGGCGTGGACTATCTCTAATGGTGGCATGTGAGCAAGGAATAATATTCTTCAGTACTTGGGCTACATGTGCCTAGGGCCACCTTCCCTAGATGCCCTGTAATTACTACCCTTGGGGCCACCTTCAACAGGTCACCCCGAGATCTAGCCCCGTTATGTCTTTTACTGTTCAGTACTTGGCCGCCCTTGGTGTCAACTGGGGTCTTTGTTGCCCGTGTTTGCCTCTGGGTAGGAGTAGTTTTCATCACTGATAGGGGCACGGGGTACTGCATAGCTAGTTTTCACCTCTTACAGCGGCTGGCTCTGTTCCACCTGGGTACGTTGTTCTCTTGCGGGGTTTTGCTTTTGATCTTGTTTTTCGGCCTGGTGAGGGGGTCTGCCTTAGAGGTTGCCCCTTCTGTGTTGAGGTGCATATATCTATCATTATATCTATTCTCAGTTTTTGTGTGGTTGGTGGTACCCCCTTGCTAGGGCCCCTGTGAGTGGACACGTCCCAAGGCTTCAGCTATTAGCAGATTGTTTGGTAGTCTTGGGCACTGGCTTGCAGTACCCTGTCTTGGCTTCCCTTAGCGTGTTAATAAGGCCAAGGGCCCTGGGAAACCCCACAGGGCTCTGTGGTCTGATGGATGTGACCCTTGAGTCCCCTCTCGCTTCATGCGAGTCGGAAAGGTTGTTCTGTCCCCTTGGCTCTGGGGGACAATCACTGGTTGTGCCTCTGCCATGCTGCCTGTTGGTTCAGTGATTCCTTTGACCTGGAGTCATGCGATGTTTGTTGCCTGTACATGCTCCAGTTCACCCAGGCTACTGATCATGATATGAGGGTGCAGGTGGTAGCTGCGTTGCATACTAGGTTTAGGTTGCTGCAACGCGCTAGGTTAGTTGCTTCCCTGTATGCCCCGAGACTGTCCCGTTTTGGTTTTAGGGACCCGGATTTGGGGGTGGGAGTCGCTTCAGCTCTGGTTCCATCCTTCCCCTTCTGTTGTCCATCCGGTTCCTCCCCCTTGCTTCCGGCTCCGAAGGGTCTGAAGGTTTCGGAGACAAGGCAGGGTTTAATTGGTGTTGAGACTTGGGCAGTCTTGGGAGTCCCCCCTTCTGGGGTGGTGGTGGAGGCATTCAAGCCTGGTCCTCCTGCCAGAGCTTCTGGGTCTGACCAGTGGTCCCCCTTTATTCCTACTTTTTGGCTGCTCCTGCCTTTTCTTTAGAGGCTATGGGTGTGTAGGACAGCTCGGCCCTGGATCCTTGGGGTGAGGTTCCTGGGGCAGGGGAGGGGTTGACTTGGGGGCCTTGGGCCCTGTTGTACACTGCTTGGGTTTTTATACCCTTGGAGCAGGGCTTGGTGTTATAGGGTGTGGGGTTCTCTTTTGCTCCCTCCTTGTACGAGTTGGATTTGGCGTCTACCCCTCCCTGGGTTTGGTTCCGTGGCCCCGACAGTTCTTCGGTTCCGTCTTTATGGAGATTTCCGGCTTCTCGAGTCCAGTCACAGTGGGTGCAAAAAGCCCTTGCGGCTTACCTCCTGCGCAACCTGGATTTTGCTTTCATTAGGGATCCGCGTTTCTTTGTGTCTTTACTGGGTTTGTTACGAAGTTCTGGAGTCGTCCTGGTTAGCAGACTGCCCTTTCCTCTCTTAGGAAGCATTGCCTTTGGCAGCGTGTGCATTGTATGCGCTGTTGGAGCTGTTTGCGCCGCTCCTGCGGAATGCAATTTCGCGTTATTTTTGCTTCTTGGCTAGCGTATCAGCAGGCGGTGCTAGCTTCTTCCTTGAAATCCGCTTGGGCACTGGCTCTTCGATTGTCTTCGCCCTCTTGTCTGTTGCTGTTTGCAGAGTCTGCGATGATGCAGTATCTGCAGGAAGCTTCGGTTAGTTGCCGTCCTATGTCGGAATTGATGGTCCTCTGGGGGGCTCATGGGGGACCATCAGGCGTGGTCGTGCCAGGGCTCGGGGATTTTCTCTCGTGGTAGGCCAGTAGTGTCAGATTTGGCGCCGGCGCAGTCTTTGGTGCTGTCTGTTTCTGTTCGGCGCAGGGATTGCCTTTTGTGGCGTTTGCGTGCTCGTGCGGTGCATTAGCACCTTTCACGGTTCGTCCCATTCACGGGGGCAGTGGGGGGGGGGGGGAGGCTTGCTCTGTTTGCTCGCACCTGGTGGGACCAGGTGCGAGCAAACACCTGGTCGTTTTTTGGGTCGTTTCGTGCAGCCTGTGGTGGTGTTGGGTGGCGGCTCCTTCAGGAGGTTTCAGGCTGTAGGGCAGGCCTCTTCTCCTGTGCTCTGTCAAGTTGTCTCGGAGTGTATTCACTTGGGCGTGGTCGAAACGTCCTCATCCCTCAGGTGGATCTCCCGCCTGTTTCCAGTCCCGAAACAGAACTGTGCATACCTCCGGTTCATTCTGGACTTGTCTCGTCTAAACCCGTGGGTTTATTGCCCCTCATTTCGGATGGCTACTCTTTCCCAGGTCTGTCTTATGTTGGAGCCAGGCACTTGGATGGTATCCCTGGACCTCCAGCACGCGTATTGGCACATCCCGATTCATCCGCGGTTCAGGGACTGGCTCGGTTTTGTGGTGGGACATCGAGGTTACCCCTTTTGTTGCCTTCCATTCGGCTTGATTCTAGTGCCTTGCATTTTCACTCGCTTTACAAGTCTCGTCTTTTCACAAGTCCCATTTGGTTTCCTTTGAGGTTCAGTCTTGGCTGGGTCTTGTGTGGGACATTCGGACCGCTTCCTTGTCTCTTCCTCCAGCGACTCTGCTTCGTCTGAATTGCCACCTCGGTCTGTTTCTGAAGGGCTCCCGGGTAACACAGGGGTTGCTCAAGGATTTGTGCGGGAGCCTGAACTTTGCCATGATGGTCTACCCGCCGGGTCGGGTGTGGCTTTGTCGGGTGTTCTGGTTTCTTAGGGGAAAAGTCTGTCTGTTCCGCCTCTCTTGCGATCTCTGGGTTTGACCTCCAGGGGCCTTTCATCGGTTGCTGCGTCGCCAGCTCTGTTTTTGGATTTTTCGGGGATCACTACCTTGGTGCCTACCCAAACCATAGCTCGATGTGTTCACGGACGCGTCGTCTCTTGGCTGGGGCTTTGTGACCAGTGCTCACTAGGCCGGCCAGGGGCAGTGGGTTCCATCCTTCCATCAGGCTCACAGCACGGTATGGGAGTTCGCGGCTGTGTGGATGTCACTCCGGAGGATTCGGGTCTTTCACAGATCGAAGATCCAGCTCCATTCGAACTGTTCCCTGATGGTTCATTGCCTGAACCACAGGGGTTCGATGCGGTCCTTGGCTCTGTGGTGCTGGTCGCTTCGGGTGACTCGTCTGCTGAGTTCTTGGGCTCTATGGCAGTTCACATTCGGGGGGTGTCCAATGTCCTGGCAGACAGCCTGTTCCGGTTCATTCCCCTATCCATGGAATGGACGGTCGACGCCAACTCGTTCCGTTGGCTCTGCCGGACATTTGGGCCTCCAGAAGTGGATCTCTCTGCGTCGGCATGGTTGACCCATCTCCCGGTATACTGTACATGGTGCCCTTCCCCGACTGCGAGGTCGTCGGTGTTAATGCCTTCAGGCAGGACTGGGCGAGGTGGGGTTACTTGTACCTCTTCCTCCAGGTTCAGCTGTTGCTCCAAGTTCTGGCTCGCTTGGAGACTTACCAGGGAAGAGTAGTCCTTTTGGACCCTTGGTGGCCGGCCCAGCCTTGGTTTCAGGCTCTGCTTGCTCATTATCTGAACCTGAGGGTCTTCTCATGGCTCCCGTCTCATTTAGGAGATCGGTCATGACAAGATCGCGAAGATTTCTCCTCGACTCTTCGCATGTTGTCTTTCTGACTCGAGACTATCACCTTTTGTATGGGGCACAGGTGGCTTTGTTATTGGTCTCCCATCTGCGTGCCTTGTCTCGGCAGCAGTATGCGATTTCCTGGCGGTCTTTCCAGTTTTTCATATCACTGCGTAGGTGTACTTCGGTCTCTGATAGGGTTGTTTTGTCCTTCCTGTTGTGGTTGTTTCAAGACCGTCATCGTAAGCCGAATACTGTCGCCTCCTATCGTATGGCACTGGAGGAGCCGCTCCAGCTTGCGTTCGGTAGTGATGTTACATCTGTTTCGTTCCGCAAGTTATATTGTACATTGTTTCACCTCAGGCCTGCTTATGCGTCACCCGAGCCATCCTGGTCCTTGGACCAGGTGTTTTTTCCTCTCTTCTCCTCGGTTTGTGGTGGCCCCTTCAGTTCAGGATTGTTTTTGCAAGGCTCTTTTCCTGTTGACATTGGCCACTGGGGGTTGGGTCAGGGAGCTTCATGCTCTCCTCCGGCGCAGGAGTTTCTGCTCGTTTGGTCCTGGTGGTAGGTTTGTTCGGTTGCAGCCGTCTCCTTTTCTGGTGAAGAATGAGACTGCTGCTTTCCAGAAGGAGCTTTGGGTTGTTGATGCTTGGTTGGTCAGGCTAGGGGTGCATTATGTCTTGTCCAGTTGCGGCTCTCCGCTGTTGTTTGCGCGCCACGGCTTTGGGGGCCGGGGATGCACTTCGGATTGATCCGGTTTCCCTTCTTCCCTGTTCCTGGGCTCAGGTTTCCCAGGTCGTCCACAGGATTATTAAGGCTAGCCAGCCTGCGGTCTATCCTTGTGCCCACAACGTGTGTAAGTTTGCTGCTTTGGTTGCTATCTTTGGCAACACGTCTTGGGTTGACATTCGGGCACAGGGTTTTTGGAGGTCTAACTGGGTCCTGGCCGCTTGTTACCTTGTCAATGTCCCTGGTCCTTGTAGGGCTTACATTGCATTGGGTCGGCGGTTGCAGCCAGTTGTCTTGGCTTCGCATTGAGGAGTGAGGACTGACCGCTGTCTGGGTAAGTCCCTGTTTTTTCTTGTCTTTGGGTAGTTAGTTCTGAGGAGCCGACAGTACTCCCCCGAGAAAACCAGTGTTGAATTCAATGAAACGTCATTCTCTGGGCGAGTCCTGGAGGTTCCCCGGCATCCCTCCCTCCCTCCGGTAGGTGGTGTTTTCGTGTATTTTATCATCCAGCCTAAGAACTGAAGGATGGATTGCTGGCGTGGGGGTCTGGGGCTTCCCCATTCTTCTTCCCGGGGAGGAGGGGGTTACACAGACAGCGGCGCGGCGACAAGATGGCATCATGTTCGTTTGCTAATTTTCAATTGGGGAGTTCTGTGCATTCGTTCGGCTTTCAGTAGCAATAGTTTCTCTAGAATGTGTTTGTTTGGGGCGCCTACCTTTCTGGGTGCCAGATCCAGTCGATGGCAGCTATAGAATGCTCCCAACCACACAGGTGTTTCTATAGGTCATTGCTCCTCATGCCTCTCTTGAGGGGGCCAGGTACTGGCTCATGATCCCCGGTAGGCAAGAACTGTGTACATTGACTAATGCCAGAAAGTTATACATATTCACTCAGCCTGGATAGCTCCAGGGAGCCGACGGGGCTTCCCCCAGAAAGGAAATACAGTATGACACAATTTGAATGTCAAGTGATTTAAAAACACACCAGGTACTAAAAAGCTAAAAAGTAAGATCTTAAGAACTAGACTTAACTCCTCCATTTTCAGCAACAGATAAGTAACTCCCCACTCAGATTATGGATAGAAAATTCAATTCAAATGCCCGACAGGCAGCTTAGTTCGCAAAAAGCATTAAATGTATCATGTAATTAAACAAATTTATATAATGTACAGTAGTTTCCTACTTTATTAGCAAGTAATTAATATTTTTAATTCTAAAATCCTTAGGTATATGTTAAACAAAATAAAAGGCAATAACACAGAAAATACAAAATGAATACTTCTTACAGAAAATTTAGTTTGTTGACATAAAACATCTAGAATAATCAGGATAAAAATACTATTACAGGGTAATACCAAAATAGGTTCTTATAAGGTGTCCCTACATAACTATTATTACAAAATATATTCCCCCCAAATCTAAAACAGTATGCCACATATACAATAACACTATACAGAAGATACAACTTAAAGTACCCCCTCAGCTGAGATGAGAGCCACTTACCCTGACAATCCTTCTCATCAGCAGCATCTTTACAGTCAGGTATACCATCACAGATCTTGTGTTGAGGTATGCAGAACTTGTTACCACAAGGAGAGTCAGAGCATGCTACCACCACAAAATGTTACGCCAATGTCAAGTAATCAGTTAAATTAGCTTAACAGATTTTTTCACGTGATGTCTCATTCTATACACATTATAGAGATGAGAATCATGGAAGAAACCTTGAGGCTTAATTCTTCTGATAATTGCATGCAATCTACTAAACTGTTAATTTAAAAGGCATATTAAGAGAAAAATAAGAGTAGACATCTAATATAACAGCTAACAGATGTTATTTGAAAGCACTACTTATTTACTGTGTGATAATTAGTGTGGTATTATTTAAATGCTGCGATGAAATGTTATCACAAATTATGATATTTGAAAGAGTTTCTGAAGGTAAATCCTAGTATAATACATGAGCAACTTGGTTTAATATGAGTTTAAAACAAATTGAAATTTTCCCTTTTGTTAATTAATGTTTCCTTATTTATATTTTACACTAAATTAATCTAAAGTAAAACATAACCTCTCAATCACTAATGAATCAAAGCTAGTGGTGCCACACAGCCTTGAATATACCTTGAATAGAGTATGTCAATTTTATTCAGTTGCTCAAACAAACAATTATATTCTGCAGTCAATGTTCCTCAAGTAACATTTTAATGGATAGCATTTGTCTAAAAACTATTTAAAAAATCTGATAACTGTATATAACAAAATATATTGAATCAGTAAATAAAGCATGGGCTTAAGAGATATTAAAAGTTCATAATTAAGTTTAGGAATTATATACATTTCACAAAAGTATATAATTAACCAAATATTAAGAAAATGTTTTACTTTTACAAAGTTAATATGATAATTTGTATCAGAAACCCATAGCCAAATCATCGTGCATTTTATGTATGAAAAAATTGAAATAGCAGAAAGATGAACATGAAAAGCACAAAGCTACTTTATAAGCAGAACACTTAGATGCTCCATAAAGCAAGCTCACTTATTGCCCTCTGGACAGGTACATCACAGCAGTGAAGATGACAGTCTACTGGCATAACAGAAACCTTATCTAACATCCCTTCTTAGATATATATGATACAGTACTAGGAAGGAACTGATTAAAAGTTCAATAAAAAAAAGAATGATTACAGAAAATTTACTTAAAAATATTGAAGAGCCTTTCCAAACCCTACATGGTATCATATGAATTGCCAAGAATCACACTGATCAAACAGTAACTTTTCATCCAGCAGCATTTCCCCATATCACCAGAAGGCAGCATCCTAAACACCACCAAGTCCCCAGCCTCAAACCCAGTCAAATTCTGACTGACACCAACAGTAGTTTCAAAGTGTTATATGACACAGAGTACTGGGAAGACGAGACACTACAAGCATAGTTCCCATCCCGTAACTACACTTTAGTAATTACCCGGAACAGCTGGTGTTCAACAATAATGCCTTGGCAAAAGATCAGAAGCCACAGATCTGCAAATGTAAGAGTCAAGAGAGATGCTGCAGAATCCCACTGGGGAGCAAAATGGTCTAGGAAGGTAATATTGACCTCGAGTCCAACGTGGGAAATTTCGGAGACTAAAATACTGTATACCTTATTGATAATTTGTATGTACAAGCCAAGGAGGCCTGGTCGACGACCGGGCCGCGTGGACGCTAAGCCCCGGAAGCACCTCAAGGTAAGCCTTCCTTATTTAATCATTATTATAAATAGAGGATAGCTGTCAGGGTAATTATACCATATGAGAATCCTCTATTCTGCACCATGCAAAGAATTGCGAATTCCATAATTGTGAAACCACCACAGTGACAACAGAAGTGTTGGTCAAGTACGGCAATGTGAAACTCATGAATAAAAGGGGCAGAGACTGTGTTTCATGGTTCATATACAGCAGAATCTAGGGTCATTACGATTGGGTAGAAATAAAAGTCTAGGGACCTGGGTAAGAATTGCTTACTGATCCTAACTAAAATGATAGCTAATTTAGGGCAAGGAAAGACAAGGGTAGTTCATAACTAAAAAAATACAAGCACCTTAAGCAAGGCCAGATATTAGGGAAAAAACAAAACTAATCCAAGTGGACCAACAAGGAGCACTCAATAAAAATGCCTAATCCTCAAACAAAACACCTAGGTAATGGAATTGAAGTGGGAATTGCAAGTGGAGGAACTGACAATTGAAGCACAAACCAAATGAGAATATAGACGGAAATTCTGGATTACTGACAGTCACAACGTGTATACAAGGTGTTCAAAATATATATACAGCCTTAGAAAGTACACAGCATTCAAGTACTGCGTGTGAATTTAAGATATGTAAGAATGAAACAAGGCATTTAACCACAGCCAGTCTTGAGGCTGCCTAAACATCACAAAAGTCAGGAAGCATGTGATAAGTTTTGAAACCGGGAACTTGGTTTTGGCATTGGTGCTGCAATCAGGTGGTGGTCACAAGAAATGGGCAGATAGTAGATTGTAGTTTGATCAGGGTACCACTTAATAATCCCTGTAAAGTCTAGTAGGGCCTCTCAATGGCCAATGACGAAATTTTCTAAAACTACTGAGTTGAACTGTGCTTCTCTCCAGTGCTTTCCTAGCACCAGGTGTGACCCAAAAGGAACCTTTAACAAATCCACATGAGCCGTGATGAGGGTTTGAACCTATGTGCTGGGTGTTACCAGGCATAGGAATATTTAAAGAAATCCCTGCTGCTTCCTTGGTCAGTGCCCTCACTGTTGTGATCCTGTCCAATAGGACATTTAGTGTGCTTGCCTTAGAAAGCATCTGAATGGAATAACTCAGAAAAGGAGAATATATTGTGATAGAAGGTTAGGGTTTATATATTACAAAAAGCGAATCACTAGTCTATTAACCATCATTCACACTATATATCATAGATAAATATCATTCAATGTAATTGATACAATATAATTGTGTCATTCACACTATATATCATAGATAAACAAGCACTACCGCACTGCAGCACAGTAGCATCCCACCACTTCACAAAACCAAGTCTTCAATGATCATTGTGAATTATCATTTACAGGACATATTATAATAATAGCCACTCGTAGGTACCACAGCCAATTTCATTATTCATTTCCAGTTATTGGAGAATGTAGTCACACACAGACATATGCAAACTGTGTTGTGTATATGGAAGCTAGGTGGATACTGGTGTCATGTAAAAGGAGATGATATGATTACCACTTACGAAATACTAACAAGAATCGACCAAATTGACAAAGAGGAAGTCCTGAAACCGGCAACTTCAAGAACAAGAGTACACAAATTCAAGCTAAGGAAACAAAGGTGCCAAAAAAAAAATTAGAAATTTTTCTTTTGCAAACAGAGTGGTAGACGATTGGAACAAGTGAGATGGTGGTGGAGGCCAAAACCATCAGTAGTTTCAAAGCGTTATACAATAAAGAGTACAGTACTGGGAGACGGGACATCACGAACGTAGCTCTCATTCTGTAACTACACGTAGGTAATTACAAGATTTAAAGAATTCTGATAAAGAAAGAGATCTAGGGGTGGTTCCAGATAGAAAACTGTCACTTAAAGACCACATAAAGAACAATGTGCAAGGAGCTTATGCTACACTTTCCAATTCCAGAAATGCTTTTAAATACATTTAAAATGCATTAAATAATACAGTCCCTGTTGTGCAGTTGTAAAGCACTTGCCCAGTGCTTCACAAGCGCTTTGACCTGGGTTTGTAACTGGGCCGGGGAGGATAGACCAGGCACCAATCCTTAAGAGTAGCCTCTGTTCATCCAGCAGTGAATGGGTACCTGGTTGTTAAATGATTTGGTGGGCTGTATTCTGAGGAAAATTAAAAAGCTCTATGCATGCTAGTGGGTTTACAAGAATGTAAGAACTCTTGTATATATGGGTATAAATAAATAAATAACTAAACATGGATGGCATAATACTAAATAAATTGTTCATGACCTTGGTGAGACCAAAGTTGTAGGGTGACTATATCTTAACACTTTCAATCTCCGTTAACACCGCTGGAGTAAACCGTTTTTCTCTCGAGTCCAATCCGAAGATGCGAGCACCATCCACATTTTAAAATATTTGTTACAAATGTAAATTTTATCCGATCAATCTGGGAGTGGTTTTAAAATGAGCGCCTTTAGATTGCGCACAATTTGATACCTAAATGAAAGATGTAACACGAAAATTGTTATAAAATTGATTGATGTCAGAACACTGAAAAGATTATAAATACTTTTTGCGTCCAAATTTTACAATGTTAAAATTCTATTTATTGTGCTATTATTATGGGACTAGTTTTAAAATGTGCATGTTCAGATTGTGAACAATTTGATACCAAAATGTAAGATGTAACACAAAAATTTATGTCAGAACATTGGAAAGATATAAATAATTTTGTGATGATGAGCATCCAAAATTAAAATATTTGTTAAAATTCCAATTATTGCTCTATCATTATGGGATTAGTTTTAAAATATGTGCCTTTATGATGCGAACAATTTGATACCAAAATGAAAGACGTAACATGAAAATTGATGTTATCAAACTGAACGAGTACTGTATATACATTAGGCTGCGGCATGCCAATTGGTGCTTGATCACGGGTAACCTTTAGGCTTTGCTGCGGGGAGTCATGCCGGGCTTTTGGACATTATATGCATATACCCCTGCAGGGAATTTAATTGTGAACACGATGATACCAAAACAAACGACATAGCACGAGAATTAAGGCAAGAAAACTGAAACGAATATACACATTGTATTGATTTTGCGCGGTCACGGGTAATTTTTGCCAACTTTAGGCTTTGCTGTGGAGATTCACGCCGGGCTTTTGGACATTATATGCATATACACCTGTAGGGAATTCTATTGCGAACACAATGATACTAAAACGAATGATGTAGCACGAGAATTAAGGTGAGAAAACTGAAACGAGTACACACATTTCAGTGTCACCACACGCTCACCCGCACCGCCAGGAGCATGAACTCAAGTTTTTTGTGTGTTCGCCCGGGGCGCGAAAGTGTTATGCAGCACATCAGC